ACCCCATCACCAGCTACGTTGTCAACTACCTGCTGCTGCTCTGTAACAGGTGGGGCTGGGTGCAGAGAGGTGGAGTGGGGCAGGGGCGGTGGTAGTAAGTGGTTCAGATCACGCCAGTGGGGACGTGCACCCCATCACCAGCTACGTTGTCAACTACCTGCTGCTGCTCTGTAACAGGTGGGGATGGGTGCAGAGAGGTGGAGTGGGGCGGGGGCGGTGGTAGTAAGTGGTTCAAATCACGCCAGCGGGGACGTGCACCCCATCACCAGCTACGTTGTCAACTACCTGCTGCTGCTCTGCAACAGGTGGGGATGGGTGCAGAGAGGTGGAGTGGGGCGGGGGCGGTGGTAGTAAGTGGTTCAAATCACGCCAGTGGGGACGTGCACCCCATCACCAGCTACGTTGTCAACTACCTGCTGCTGCTCTGCAACAGGTGGGGATGGGTGCAGAGAGGTGGAGTGGGGCGGGGGCGGTGGTAGTAAGTGGTTCAAATCACGCCAGTGGGGACGTGCACCCCATCACCAGCTACGTTGTCAACTACCTGCTGCTGCTCTGCAACAGGTGGGGATGGGTGCAGAGAGGTGGAGTGGGGCAGGGGCGGTGGTAGTAAGTGGTTCAAATCACGCCAGTGGGGACGTGCACCCCATCACCAGCTACGTTGTCAACTACCTGCTGCTGCTCTGTAACAGGTGGGGCTGGGTGCAGAGAGGTGGAGTGGGGCAGGGGCGGTGGTAGTAAGTGGTTCAAATCACGCCAGTGGGGACGTGCACCCCATCACCAGCTACGTTGTCAACTACCTGCTGCTGCTCTGCAACAGGTGGGGATGGGTGCAGAGAGGTGGAGTGGGGCGGGGGCGGTGGTAGTAAGTGGTTCAAATCACGCCAGTGGGGACGTGCACCCCATCACCAGCTACGTTGTCAACTACCTGCTGCTGCTCTGCAACAGGTGGGGATGGGTGCAGAGAGGTGGAGTGGGGCGGGGGCGGTGGTAGTAAGTGGTTCAAATCACGCCAGTGGGGACGTGCACCCCATCACCAGCTACGTTGTCAACTACCTGCTGCTGCTCTGCAACAGGTGAGGATGGGTGCAGAGAGGTGGAATGGGGTGGAAATGGTAGTAGTAAATGGTTCAGTTCACTTCACAGGGGGACGTGACGTGCACCCCATCACCAGCTACGTTGTCAACTACCTGCTGCTGCCCTGCAACAGGTGTGCGAGGTTCTTGCACATGTGGGCAGGTTCAGGGTGGTGTAGGTGAGATGATTGATATGATGGACTTCAAAGGACATGCATTTCACCCACCTACCCACCCACGCCCACCACACCCCCCAGCGACCTGCCATACTTCTCCATCCTGGAGGATGACCCGTAATCCTCTGCATCCCTTCACACCCATCCCCATCCCCAGCGACCTGCCATACTTCTCCATCCTGGAGTGCGTGTTTGAGGACATGGCCAACACCGGAAGGCAACGAGGCAAGCAGCTTCATCATCAATGACCCGTATTCCTCTGCATCCCTTCATACCCATCCCCACCCACGCCCACCCACTCAAACACCCCCTCCCCCCAGCGACCTGCCGCACTTCTCCATCCTGGAGTGCGTGTTTGAGGACGTGGCCAACACTGGCAGCCAATGATTCAAGCAGCTTCACCATCAATTACCCAAATTCCTCTGCATCTCTTTCCACCCATCCCCAACCACCCTTCCACCCAACCACCCATCTCCCCCCCCCTCCCCCCTTTCCCCCCCAGCGACCTGCCGCACTTCTCCATCCTGGAGTGTGTGTTTGAGGACATGGCCAACACCGCCAACAAGTCAAGCAGCTTCACCATCATTTCGATCCTGGGTGCAATCCGTGGCAACCCTTGCATCTAAGACCCATATTACTCTGCATCCTTTCCCACCCATCCCCACCCATCCCCCCCCCCCCCCCAGCGATCTGCCGTACTTCTCCATCCTGGAGTGCGTGTTTGAGGACATGGCCAACACTGGCAGGCAGCTCCTCCATCAATGACCCGTAATCCTCTGCATCCCTTCACACCCATCCCCACTCCCCAGCGACCTGCCGTACTTCTCCATCCTGGAGTGCGTGTTTGAGGACATGGCCAACACCGCCAACGAGTCCAGCAGCCTCACCATCACTGACCCGTACTCCTCTGCATCCCTTCCCATCGATCCCCACTCCCCCCCTCATCCCCCCCAGCGACCTGCCATACTTCTCCATCCTGGAGTGTGTGTTTGAGGACATGGCCAACACCGCCAACGAGTCGGGCTCATCCATCATCACGCCGCGCGTGCAGGGCCGCCTCGCCTTCGCTGCTGCTCGCATCCTTGAGGCCCTCAAAGTCAACCTGCAGCACCGCGCTCTCATGCTGAGAGATGATGCGCTGGGGGAGCTGTTTCTTATGAACAACCTTGCCTACGTGCTCACCAAGATAGACGCGTAAGTATTGCCTCGCCTTCGCTGCTGCTCGCATCCTGGAGGCCCTCAAAGTGAACCTGCAGCACTGCGCGCTCATGCTCCGGGATGACGCTCTGGGGGAGCTGTTTCTCATGAACAACCTCGCATATGTGCTCACCAAAATAGACGTGTGAGTGCCAAGGCTAGGCTTGTAGTGAATGGGTTTGCACAGTCCCACCCCACCGTCCCTTAACCCACCGTCCCTTGTATGTTGACATTCAATGCATTCTCATGCGCTTTATATTTTCCCCTCTCCATTCCCCACCCTCTCGCTCCCTCCCTTCTCCTCCTCCCCGGTGCCCAACCTGCCCCACCCCCCTCTCCGCTTCCCTGTCACATCCTTCCCCTGTCCAATGCACACACACAGTGCGGATGCGGGCAGGTTGCTGGGAACAGCATGGATAGGCAACTACGGGGCCATAGTGGACAGCCATCGCGACCGATTCATCAACTCCTCCCTCGCCAAGGTGTGTCCTGCTGGCTGGCATGCCTCGCTGGCTAGGGTGAGCCTTGCTTGCAGGACTTTTGTACTTTATTGAATACAAAGTTCCCGTTTCTCTTCACTCGTTCATAATCATCCCTTACTGTCTCCCAAACCCCCCACATCTGCCCATGAGCAGTTTGACCCTGTGTGGTCTGATGATCGCCTCGACACGGCCTCTCTCGTAAAAAGGTGTGTCTTGCCTCCCGATGCTGCCCATTATAACCGTTTGGCAATATTCACAATGCGCCGAGCCTGTTTCCTGACCGTCAAATAAAGTTGAGTATGCGTCTCAGGACTACGCTTTACCCGAAGGTACGTGTGGGAGAACTCACCTCACCTTCATTGTGTCTCTTCCATCTCCTTCACACTTGAAAGGTTCACTCCTTTTTTTTCACACTCACCACGAATCATCTCCTTCCTTCACACTCAACCACCACTGATCCCCCCGTTCCTGGTGGTCTGCCCTCCTGTCCTGTTTGAGGTTGATTTTGAGAATTCTCAAAATCAACCACTGATCCCCCCGTTCCTGGTGGTCTGCCCTCCTGTCCTGCCATCACCTTTACAGGCTGAAGCTCTTTAACTACACGGTGGAGCAGATGAAGCAACGCTACATGGCATGGACCATTCCTAACCGGGAGCTGCGGGCGCACGTCAAGAAGATGACACTGAAACGACTGTTGGACAAATACAGAGACTTCATTGTTCGGCACAGGTGGGTGATTGTTCATTGTTCGTTGCGCATCTGCTCATTGTTCAATGAAGGACAGGGTTTCCAGGGCCGTCAGAAGAATAGCAAATGTCATGTCATCCCTCTTTCCTCCCCTCCCTGCACGAATGTGATTCAGAGCACGAGACTGAAAATCTTGTAGAGACAGAGTTTTGAGCGGCTGCGAAAATATTGACAGTACCACCCCCCCTTTTCCTCTCCTCCGCTGCAGGAACGTGATTCAAAGCCATCGGACTCTGGACGTGAGAGTGTTCACATGTGAAGAGATCGAGCAAATGCTGTTGCCTTGCTTTGATACGGGGCCTTCTAGAGTCAAATAAAACAAGACCGCCACGGCAGGTTACGACACGTCAGGGTTCAAGTAGGAAAAGCATAGCTTGCTATAACTAGTTTGCGAGTTCACTGCCTAGCACTAATATCTTGGTGATTGGCAGGCTTTCAGAAAGACCCCAAGTCCCAACACCCCGTGGTTGGACGGGGTGGGGTGTTCTTACTTATCAACCGACAATTTCCAAATGCTGGTAACAAATGGTGCTGTAGTCACCTGTCTGAGCAGGTTTGTAGCCATTCCCTAGATCCCTAGGATAGTGTGGTCTTTATTTAGGTGGGTACCAGCAGGGAGCTGTGGTGTTCTAATCTCAGCTCTTTTTTCAGGTAATTTGATGACTAAACAGCTATCTATGGTACAACAAAACAAACTTTCACTACCCATGCTACGATACATTACTACTGGTACTCCTAGAACCTACACTACACTGTAATAGCATACCAGAGTGCTTACAGTGAAACGTATACCATGTGGAGGCTGTCATGAAACTTCCAAGTAAACGCTCTGTTCTTCATCTGCACATCCCCCTGAAAGCGTGCCCAAGTGCCTTCCACCCAACCAGTGCAAGGGTCGCAAGACGCGGCCGTTTGCACGCAGCAGGGCAGGCGGAGACAATCACTAGACGGGCGCACACGAGGTGAAGCAGAAGCACTTTGAGGCGCACACGAGGTGAAGCACTTCCACCCTATATCGAGGCATGGTATGGTAAACAGTAGTAACTCACGATCTTGACTTGAGGCGGCAGGTCAAATGCCTCTCCTGCTACAGATGCCACAGATGCCACATTCGTGATGCTACAGATGCTTCCCGCATGCTGCTACAGAAGTCGAGTACCCTGCAGCTACAGGGGCTGCCTCCTCTTCATCACACTGCTCCTGCTGCTGCTACAAAGAAACTCGCTCTTCACTCCCAGCTCAGATTCTTGCTGACTGTGAGTAACTCAGAGGCACCCCTTCGCAGGAAAAAAAAGCAGTAGCCTTTCAATCTTTGTGTCACCTCTTCACACCTCCCTTAACCTTTCCAGCAGCTCCGAATCCTGGCTGTCACTCAGAAGAACAGACAGCGGCCCCGAGCCTCCACCATCCATGAGGCACGACGAGGAAGCTGCCAACCCATCCGCTACTGCCCCTACCGAGCCTCCGCCGCCGAAGCTACTGACCAGCGTCGGTTCTCTGAACCCTCCCGAACCTGCTCCCTCCATCGCAGAGTAATCCAGCAACCCCTGATGGGACATTAACTCCTGCTCCTCCTTTACCCCCAAATTTTCAGGGAAAGAAGTGATTCCGCCCAGAGACGCGCCTCCCCCAGACATACCCCCAGCCACCCCGTCAAAACCAACCACCCCAGGTAACCCTCCCCCCAGGCTCCCCCCAACACCCTTCCCCCCGCCACCATCCATCTCCGCCTGCATATTAGACGCCTCGTTATAGCTATAAGTCTGCAGCAGCTGCTCGTTCTCATCAGTCAAAAGCGAGTACAGCCCGTCCCAGTCCTCCCCCTCACTGTCCTCCCCATCCTCCACCGCAGCTCTTAAAGCCACCTTTCTCCGCATCTCCTCAAACACTGACCGCTCCACACACGCCTGCTTGTCCCCCACCAGCCAAAGGGACCGCTGGGGGAAGAAGATCTCCCGGGCGGCACGGAAACGCGAGAGTGAGGGGCAGTCAGATAGGACAAGAAGCTCCACTGGGTCGCCGCGGCTCAGGCGCACACTCTTGTGAGGCGGCACCACTTCCATCTGCATGGCAAGAATGGGGTGGATGGGGAGAGAGAAGGTGGGGGAGGGAGAGAGGGGGACAGGGATGGATGGATAGAAATAGCGGAGATATAGAAATAGCGGAGATAGAGCAAACACGAGTACAGGAGCCGTCCGTAAGCTAAAAAACGCGGTGGCTACTAAGCAGCTGGTCTTGGAATCGAGGTGGATAAACATATTATTCCCAAGTAGCCGCTAATGCGAATACGCAACTGACCTCCAGGGTAGTGCGGCTGTGGTCGCCAATCAGCACGCGCCACCTGGTCTGCCTCCCCACACGCACCACCTGCAAGTCCAGCAGCCGCGCCTTCCACAACCCTGATGATTGGAGGGAAACCGGAGGGCAGAGAGAGAAAGACCAAAGACAGAATTCGCATTAGAGCGTGAGAGGAACACGAGACCAGCAGCCGCGCCTTCCACAACCCTGATGATTGGAGGGAAAACGGAGGGCAGAGAGAGAAAGACCAAAGACAGAATTCGCATTAGAGCGTGAGAGGAACACGAGACCAGCAGCCGCGCCTTCCACAACCCTGATGATTGGAGGGAAACCGGAGGGCAGAGAGAGAAAGACCAAAGACAGAATTCGCATTAGAGCGTGAGAGGAACACGAGACCAGCAGCCGCGCCTTCCACAACCCTGATGATTGGAGGGAAACCGGAGGGCAGAGAGAGAAAGACCAAAGACAGAATTCGCATTAGAGCGTGAGAGGAACACGAGACCAGCAGCCGCGCCTTCCACAACCCTGATGATTGGAGGGAAACCGGAGGGCAGAGAGAGAAAGACCAAAGACAGAATTCGCATTAGAGCGTGAGAGGAACACGAGACCAGCAGCCGCGCCTTCCACAACCCTGATGATTGGAGGGAAACAGGAGGGCAGAGAGAGAAAGACCAAAGACAGAATTCGCATTAGAGCGTGAGAGGAACACGAGACCAGCAGCCGCGCCTTCCACAACCCTGACGAAACGACGGAATGAGAAGAGGGAGTGAGAGAGAATGGGAAAGAGGAAATGAGAAAGAGTGAGTCAGAGTGCGAGAGAATGGACGCAGCAAGAACGGTAAAAGAAGGCGGAATTTGAAAGACGGAGAGGAGGAAAAGAGGACACTTCAGCATTATCAATCTCCATTTCCCTTCCCACCCTTCCCCCCATTGCCCCACCCACTTCCCCCTCCTCCCCCATTGCACTCACCAGCATGTCTGTACCGAACGCGCATCGCTAGGTTCTTCGCCACAGCGCGCCAGATCGGCCACCAGGCCCAGTAGAACGCGGCAGTCACGGCAGCGATCACGCTCACACTGTACAGCGCCACGGCCAGACCCATCGACACCACGAACCGCCTCACCCACGCCGCCGGGCCGCCCAGCATCTGCAGCACCTGCGGCCCGGATCCCGCCAGCGGCACCAGCAGCGCCAGCGCGCCGTCCGCCAGCGCGTGCACGGCCGGCAGGCGCCGCGGCCGGCCGGCGGAGCGGCCGGCAGGCTGGAGCTCTTGCGGGAGAGCGGGGGAAAGGGCGGGCGGAGCCTTGCGCTCGGGCAAGGGGGCGAAGTGAGGGGCTTGGCGAGCGGGAGAAGGGGGGAGCGTGGGCGTGGGGGAGGTGGGGCGCGCGGGGAGGGATTGCGGCGCAACGAGATCGGGACTGCGAAGGTGCGCCGGGGGAGCGGAGGGTGCGGACGAGGCGGAGCGGGTTCGGGAAGCGGAACGGGAATACGCGGGGAGTCTGCGCGAGGGAGGCTTGGCGGTGGCGGGAATCGGGTTAACAGCAGCGGGCTTGGCACCAATAGCCGACAGTATAGAGTCATTAAGTGACTGCTTAAACGCAACTGTGGACGATAAAGGGGCTGCTTGTACCGAGGACGTTGTGGGTGGCGCAGATCCGGTTGCGATTGGCGCAGGTTCGGCCGCGGAAGGGGTAGAGGGGGCTGCGGGCGGCGCAGCCGCGGTCTTCAGGAAGGGGGCGAACGCGGGGGCGGCGACCCGACGCCTCGGTCGCGCGGACGACGCGGGCGCAACAAACCCTCCCCCGGGCGCGGAGAACGAAGCGCAAAACCCTTCGCGCACGTGGAACAGCGGAAGGGTCACTGCGCCAGGGTTTAACAGCCCCCGAGCCGAACCTTTACCGCGGAACATTTCCGGCTGTGCGCGTGCTGACGTGGCAGAGGCCGACAAAGGAAGATGCTCGGAAACCCCCAAGGGCTTTCGTAAGTGCACAGCAGAGTCGGAGTGTCTTGGAGAAACAGAAAACGTTGGCAGAGCTGACGGAGTCGGCAAACCGCTTAGCGAACCGGCTAACGAACCGGCCAGCAGGTTGGAATGTGTACCGTTGGTCAAGACGGACGTGCTCGGAGCACCACGTGGCAAGCCCTCCTCGGCAAAATCTGGGAACCGCTGCCGTGCCGACACGGCACCCCCGCCGCCACCGCCACCGCCGCCGTCACCGTCAACATCGAAGCGATCCATCAATAGCGCGGCGGGCCCCATCGTGCCGCTCTCCGCCATCGCCTCCGCGAGCTCAGCGCCGGCCGCCGTCATTTCTGCCGTCTCTGCCGTTTTCTCCAGTCCCAAGACCCTACTGTCGCGTCCGCTGCTCCCGTTGTTTCCGCTGCTTCTGCGCCCTAGCGTGGCGGTCACTCCGCGGGCAAAGGTAGGCGAATCTCCGTCGTCCCAATCCCCATCCCGGCTTTCCGCTTCCCATATGGCCTCAAATTCCCCGAATCGGCCGCCGCCTGATGCTGACGTGGAGACGGACCGGGAAAAGGAACACCTCCGCCTTCCTGGAGTCATCGCTTCGTTCGCGAATACTAATCTTTCCCCATAAAAATCAGAGTGGACGCAAGGGGTAGTTGCCGATGGGCTCGGCGTGAGTGACGCCGGTCGGGAGGCTGCATCAGTAGACCACCGCCGGCCTTTGTAGTTAATGCTCGAGCCTGAATGGAAACTGTTCGAACGGGTGAAAGTTGCTTCGCCAACTTCGCGAGCCTTTTCGCGACTGGAGAAGCCGAAAGGAGTCCGCGGGGAGACGAGGGAGGAGGGCGAGGACGGAACGGAAGCGGTAGCGGGGGAGTGATGGGAGTGATGAGGGCACGAGAGGCTGCTGTGAGCGTAGGAGCACGCGCAGAGGTTTCCCGGCGACGCCATGATGGTTACGGTTCGGGAGCGATTGCGGTATGGGAACTCCGAAGCGCCGCTGCAGGTCCGGCTAAGCCGAGCTGAAGGTGGATGATTTACCACATGCTTGGCTGATCGCGCAGTCGAGTCGATTTTCAGTAGCCCTTTGATCTTCATATACTTGCTGACTGAACACTCAGCAAAAAAGAGAGAACGAAAAAGAAACAGATACAGAGGGTTCGCCTACTAAGCTACTGTCTCTTAGCTGGCGACAGGAAAGAGGCGTCGTCTAGTCGAAGGGAAATTGCTTGCGCTTTTGTGAAGAAATGGGGGATCTAGGTATATGGGGCTGGGCTCTTCGTATTTGTACGCGAAGGATTTGTGAAGAGTTGGAAACTTGAGTGCTGACGGCGGACCTAGAAACTAGCAGCAGGCATCGGGAATTGCTCTGCCTGCCTAGAAGCTGCTGGAATTCAGAAAGTAGACTCGAGAAAACAATAGTTCCCAACGAGACACATCGCACACAGCGCATTATTCACTGGTAAGATCGCATACACCCGGAACCCATGTATCTTGCGACGGTTCAAGTTAGGTGTGCGACTGTAGAGGCGACAGTGAAGGTTTTGCAGGGGCAGGTTCAGTGGTGTGATTGGAGAATCGAGTCGCGAGGATGGACTGTGCGACCCTATCTCCTGGAGGTTGCCGTGCCGTTCCCGCTACGGACGGCTCCCTAAGCAAGGTGCACCACACATCACACTCCGATCGTCTACTGTACTGACCGACACGGGCACGATTTTCAGGAGACTCTCCATGCCGCGGGTTCTGGGCACTGTTTCTTCCTTAGGGTTCAGTTTCTTTTTCCTGACAAAACACGGTTAAAATGTGTTACCGCTTTCGAAAGCACTAAACCGAACAAACCTGTGAGTTCTGTAGCCAAAATATGTGATGTGCATTTGCGCCCCTGACCGATCTTCTTGGGTCAGCAGCTCAGTGGCTGCAGAGATTGATTCAAGCCCAATCTAGGCAGCCACGTCAACTCGTTTCACTTTACGTGCTGCGCCGGAGTCCCGCTCTGCACAATGGCGCGCTGTACTGCGATCATTGGCTGACAAGAAGTCTGGACTTTCTTTGGGGCACTTTTTACAGGAATGTGGCGGGAAGTTTTGCTGCCCAAGGACGACAGTGTGGCAGATTTGGATGGCAGTCACCTGCATTTTTGTTGGCAGGGAAATTCGTGAAGATTTGTGGAGGGAATGACAGACCGCCTTGGTTTCGGGATTCCGATTCCTTTCGGCAGTGGTTTTGACACCGCCTCGCTTCGAGCTCGCGTCCGATACCTTCGGTCAGATATTTACGCAATTTCCCCTTTTGGAGTCCAGAGACTAAAATTCTGTTTATTTATTGGGATATCTCAAATCATTTGTCTCGTCAATAACGAGAAGCTCGGGACAAAACATATAAACCCATCATGGAGGGAATGCCATTTGGGAGGCATCAACCCTAAACACCATGAAGTAAGGTGTTTAGGGTTGATGCCTCCCTAATGGCCATGCATCCGATAGGGGATTATTTTTTACCACAGGCCACTAAACTAAAACCAGGTAAACTTCAAAACTTTCCTCGTCACAAGAAACTGGTAATGTCATAAAAAACTGCCCCAAGGAATCGGACGCGAGCGGAAAATCAAGGCGGTGTCAAAACCACTGCCCAAAGGAATCGGAAACCCGAAAACGGGGCGGTCCGTCATTTCCTCAGATTTGTGGGACAATCAACACCCACATCCATACCAGCCCCACCCTCATGTAAGTCTTTGTTGCATGCCTCTTGAACTGTACGGTCCCTACGAAATCATTATAGTCAGATTATGAAGAGAAACATAACGGGTATATCACCAGCCAACGACATCACAGATGCTATCCTCTCCATGCCCACTCGAGAGAGACCTCACACATACACCACTGGATACTGGTTTCTACTTTTAGGTCTAAGAGTCCAGACAGATAAAACCATGCTATATCCTTGCATCATCATCACCACGGCTTTTATGAGTTAGGTTTCTGTCCTGACTATAGTGAGAAGCTGCAATTTCATAATATCGGTTTAAGCGGTACGTGTGACCGTAAGGTGTTAGTTTCCTCCCTCCACGACTGAACACTCCCGGCGGAGGGAGCTTCGCGGCTCCCGTGGCTGGTTTGAAGCGGTCGGCGGACGGCGCAATAGACGGCAACATGAGTCTCTTCGGCGTGGGCCGGTATGCGCTCAATCCTTAATTGCCGCAAATGCCTGAGGTTGCATATCCTTATCATACAAGAATATTAAACTTCATTTGGTATCCTCTCGTTCCTGGTTTGCTATTTCATGCCGCTGCTCGATCTGCAGGCCACATAGCTGGCTAAGTTATTGAATTGTCATTCTTTTTTGGCGCAGGAATCAGCGGACGTTCCGGCCGAAGAAAAGCGCGCCGTCAGGAAGCAAGGTACGATAAAATTAGGTGCATTTTTCCAGTTGCTTTAGAGGTAGTTGACAATGCCTCTTTCTTTTTGCTTACTTTGAACGTCGCATGCTCGCTAGTTGTTGCATTGTTAGTGTATAAAAAGGACTGATTGTATACGTCAAGAGAGAAACATTGATTGTTGTCACACCTTATCTGAAACGTTTGGCTGGAATGATAATACACGACGATGCTGCTTCTGCATCGTATACCATCTTTTCGTCCTAGCGTCTTCCGTAGCTGGGCGAGCACATCGACCCCAGGATAAAACATTGTCGCTTCTCCTTTGATTTTGACCGTCTGTACTCCATCTTTCCCTGTCACATCTCCTTTCTTCCGTCCGCACAGGGTCAGCAGCTCCGCAAGCACATCGATGCCACGCTCGGCAGCGGCAACCTTCGGGAGGCCGTCAGGCTTCCGCCAGGCGAAGACCTCAATGAGTGGCTCGCCGTCAACAGTGAGTTGAATCAGACAGCTTGCCGTTACCTCGTCTTCCCTTTGAACGGCCGTCGTGCCACTAACTATTGTCTCGCTTTCCGTTTGACTGTTAATGCAAGTGTTTGTGATGTGACTCCTTCGCTTTTTGTCTCTCAGTTGCGTCCCAATGGATGCACACACCCGCAATAATGAAGTATCTCTTCCATCCATTATCTCTCTTCCGCTTTTTTATCCCAGCCGTTGATTTCTACAATCAGGTCAATTTGCTCTACGGCACACTCACTGAGTTCTGCACGCCGGAACACTGCCCCACCATGTCCGCCGGTCCCAAGTAAGCACTCCAACGTACCAATCAGGTTCTGGAAAGAAGTCGGACGTTCGTTCTGAAAATCACAAACTCGGTCTCGTCAATGCAAGGTAAAAAGTTGGAAATTGCCTTTTTTTTGTCTGCTCGTGCCAACCTGTCTGGCAGGTACGAGTACCGGTGGGCGGACGGCGTGCATGTGAAGAAGCCGTTGGAGGTGTCGGCGCCCAAGTACGTGGAGTTCCTCATGGACTGGATCGAGACGCAGCTTGATGACAGCACCATCTTCCCGCAAAAGCTAGGTCCGTGCTGCACTATCCGCACAATAAATTGGTAAATCGAGGACAGGTAGGTGGGTTACGTAGGCCGTACTTCCATTAACTCTTCCATCAAGTAAGTGGAAGGGGCCTGGATGGGTGAGAGCTTAAGAGTTTCTTAGAGAGATGGCGTGCATGTGATGTGAAGAAGCCATTGAAGTACGTGGAGTTCCTCATGGACTGGATCGAGACACAGCTCGACGACAGCACCATCTTCCCCCAAAAGCTAGGTCCGTGCTGCACTCACTAGGGCTAATCCCACAATGGCTGCTCCAATAATGGCTTGCTCAAACTGTATTCCCTCAGCCCCTCGCTTCTGACCCCCATCCTAATTTCCCTTTCTGCGCCATTCCATTACCACGCATCCCACTCCATTGGTTCGCACCACAGGAGTTCCGTTTCCTCCGCACTTTGAGAAGGTGGTGCGCACGATCTTCAAGCGGCTGTTCCGAGTGTACGCGCACATCTACCACTCACACTTCCAGCGCATCGTCAGCCTCAAGGAGGAGGCCCATCTCAACACCTGCTTCAAACACTTCATCCTCTTCACACATGTGAGTTGCCCCTGGTCTGGCTTGTCATTCTTTCTTTCCTGCTAATTGCCTCCTTCAAAACCCACTCCCCTCCATCCCACCCCCGCTTCTGCCCTCCATACCCCCCCCCGCCTCCTCCTCTCTCCCCCCCCTCCCCGAAGGAGCCAAATCTCTGCCGCCTCTCCTCCTTTGCCCCTGTCCCATGCTTCTCTCGTGTTGCAAATGTTTCCTGTTTCTTTGCACCCTGTTCTGCTGAGCATGTTATTTGTTGTGTTGGTCATCACACCCCTAACCCATGTCAGGAGTTCAACTTGATCGATAACAAGGAGCTGGCGCCGTTGGAGGAGCTTATAGATTCAATCACATAAGCGTCTGGACAGCTTCCTGTAGGAGCGTGGATGTGCTTGTTTGTAGTCAACGTTTTGTTTTCTCCAAGTACAGGAGTTGAGTCTCATGTTCACAGCTGTAGAGGTACTTTAAACAGTCAGTCAAAATGTGATTGAGATAGTGCACCCTTTTGTGTGAGTGTGCATGATGATCTGCTGTTACAATTCCAGCACCCACAGCGCTTGCTTTCGCCAAGAGGCTTCGCGAACAAAATTGCCACCGCGAGTTCCGCGTGTGAAGCTAATGCAACAACATTTCGCTGTGACTCGAGCCGCTTTCGCTGAATCGCATCGCATTCCACACATTTCCAACTCTCAGCATCGCCGCTTATTTATTTACTGTATCTAGTCCTTGCTACATCCCTCCTTTCTCGCTCCACCCCGTGATTCTTGTGCTGGGATACCTCTTCAAGTATAAGTCAAGTCGACGCTTGGCTGGTTTATTTGCTGTTCTGTCATCTCCATTAGCTGCTCTGCGTTCCTTTGCTTTCTCATTGCATGCTCGAGTCGCCTCAAAAAGTAAACTCGCTGCTCGGTGTTCCTCCTTAGCTTCTGAAGTGCATCACCGCACCTTCTAAGTTTCTACCTCCTTTTCTCCCAGTCTAACCACTGCACCGTCTGAACGTCAGCAATCTCACGAACTTCCGTTGATTCATCTATTTACACAGCGGGAGAAGCGTCCTACGTGCAACCTTTCCGCGTCGCACGTCATCATGGCGGTGGTGGTGATAGTGCGCCTCGTCCTTCAACAAAGCTCAACAAAGCTCAACAAAGCTCAACAAGGCTCAACAAAGCTCAACAAGGCTCAACAAGGCTCAACAAAGCTCAACAAAGCTCAACAAAGCTCAACAAGGCTCAACAAAGCTCAACAAAGCTCAACAAAGCTCAACAAAGCTCAACAAAGCTCAACAAAGCTCAACAAAGCTCAACCAAGCTCAACAAAGCTCAACAAAGCTCAACAAAGCTCAACAAAGCTCAACAAAGCTCAACAAGGCTCAACAAAGCTCAACAAAGCTCAACAAAGCTCAACACAAAAGCTTCAAGCACTGTAGCAGGTCTCACCAGTTGGGGCCAATTGCGAGCACTGGCCATAGCAGCAGCCGTGGCAGGTCCCCCCACATTGGCGTTGGATGCTACCATTAGCTGATGGGGGCGGGGGGAAGAGGGGGGGGGGGGAGGAGGAGGGGGAAGGGGGGGGGGAGAGGGTGGGGCGGGTGAGGGAAGAAGGGAAGAAACCGAAGGGAAGGTTATGGGGCGTCTTGAAACAGCCGTGGCAGGACCACCAACATTGGCGTTGGATACTACCATTAGCTAATGGGAGGGGATGAGGAAGGAAGAAGGGAAGAAACAGATGGGAGGTTATGGGGCGTCTCGAAGTAGCCACAGAGGATATGGTAGTGAAGGAAAGAAATGAGGGATTACAAGGGTAGAAGGACAAGAAAAACAGGATAAAACACATTTCTTTCCCTTTTCCAATCATATGCGAAGGAAATCGCTACACATAAAAACATATGTGATGCTGAGATGGTGTGGTTTGAATTGACCCCGCATCGTTTCTGTATGGAAAACAGATGGACAAAAAAGAGAGTGCAGAGCTAGAGCATGAGCGCTGAGAAACATTTGCCTAAGGAGAAAAAATAACCCAATGCAGCACTTACAATATCGAGTGGGATGTTGAGGAGTCTTCCCCCTAGAAGAACGACTAGAATGTGAACCTGATGTGGCAGGTGGATCGTGCAGCAAGGAATGTAAAAGGGGGAAAGGTTGGGGAGTTTGAGATGCCAACGAGTGAATGAAGGGAAACAGAGAGAACTGAGAAATTGGGGGGGGGGGGGGGACAAGAGGATTAGAGTGCTATCTTTGGTAAAAATACTGACTCCTTTAAGGCACAATTACCAAGAGCCACCACAAACCCTGAGTAGCAGTGATGACATACCATTAACACAGTTGCAACGAATGCAAGCAGACCACCACCAGCAGACATGGCTTCAGACACACTTGCCGACGCTCCTATCTGCCAGAGAAAGGGTGTAGGTAGTTGAATGGTCAAGAAGGATTAGGTAGCACCAACAGTTGATCTGCCTCAGATATCTCAAAGGTGCTCTGGAATACTCTCAATGATGCGCATAAAGGAAAGGGTGACTATTAACTTGCTACTTTATGGGTGCGCAGCAGGGCTTACATTTGCAAAGAAGAACAGCATTAGGGCGTTTCCAAGCGTCCGTGCTCCTGTTGATGGCCGTAAAGGAAAGGGTGACTATTAACTTGCTAGTTTATGGGCGTGCAGTGCAGCAGGGCTTACATTTGCAAAGAAGACCAGCATTAGGGCGTTTCCAAGCGTCTCTGCTCCTGTGAATAGTGAACCTCTCTCCTCTCCCTCCAACCCTCCCTCTCCCGTCTCTCTCTTCTCCCCACTTCCTGTCAGCCTGTTTGCTACAGTAGACAGGAGGGAGGCCAGCACAGCGGCAAGCGCCAGCTGTGCCGAGGCCATCACGGGCGGCAGATGGACGGCAAGTTTGTCTGCTAGCGCGCATGCCGAGGCGGCAGCGGCTATGGAGAGAGTGAGGGACTCTACCGAGGGAGCGGGGGGTGGAGAGTGAGTGAGGTGTGAGGAGGAGGAGGGAGGGGAGGGAGAAGGCAGAGGAGCAGGAGAGTGCAAAGACGAGGAAGAGGAAGTGTCGGAGGAAGAGGAAGGAGAGGAGGGAGATGAAGAGGAGGGAGACTGGGAGGAGTGGAGGAGAGGAGCAGAAAGCCCTGTATCTGGCCCTTTCTCCGACTCAGAATCTCCTCCCAGCGTCAGCCCTCCCAGTTTCACCCCTCCCCACCGCTCCCCACCTCACGGCTTGGGCCAGGAGTCAGGGAGGGCAGCAAGCACTGAGAAGTAAGCAGCCATGAGGAGATTGTCCACCGCCATGCCTGCTGTTAGTAAGCTGGCTCCCGTGCTGGCTGCTGCTGCTCCTGCTGTGATGTCCATGCCTAGAGCCTGGGGATGTGCGTACAGGAGAGAAGAGAGAAAAGAGTCAGGGAGAGTAGGTGGCGACGAGGAGGTTCCCCATCGCCATATGGAGAACCTCCCAAGAGTTCTCATACGGCGATGGAGAATTCTCACAAACCATATGGGAGGTTCCCCACCGCCTTTTGACGTGCCTCAGAAGGCGGCGATGAGGAGGTTCTCCAATAGCTCAAAAGGCGGTGAACTCGAGTTCATTATATTAGTGACTGAGCTCAACTCTTTTCTCCCACTGTCACTTCCTTCCTCGTCGTCTCACCTTAGCAGTGGCAGCATTATTCACGCTCCCTCCAATGTACGTCGCACAGAAGCAAGCCGCCACCTTCCACCTCTCTAGTCCTTCCACTCCACTAACTTGTGATTTTTACCTCACTGTCTCTCCCTTCCTCTTCTCCTCACCTTGGCAGTGGCAGCGTAGTTCACGCTCCCTCCGATGTACGTCGCACAGAAGCAAGCCGCCACCTTCCACCCCTCCACTCCTAGGGAGGGCCCGGCCAATGAGAAGCCGACAAGTGTCCCTGCAATCGTGCCGGCCGCACCCAGCAGGAAAGCGAGCAGGCCGGGACCTGATTGGAGGGGAAGGCAGGGGAAGGGGGGAAGAGGAGAGAGGGGGAGAGAAGCCGTATCCCATGCGTTAAGGCGAGGGAGGAAGAATAATCCGGAATGGCATGGTATGGTATGGTATGGTATGGTATGGCATGGCATGGCGTGGTATGGCATGGCACGGTATGGCATTGCATGGCATGGCATGGCATGGCATGGCATGGCATGGCATGGCATGGCATGGTATGGTATGGCATGACATGGCATGGCATGGCATGGCATGGCATGGCATGGCATGTTATGGCATGGCATGGTATGGCATGGCATGGCATGGCATGTTATGGCATGGCATGGTATGGCATGGCATGGCATGGCATGGCATGTTATGGCATGGCATGGTATGGTATGGCATGACATATGGTGTGATGCTACTGCGTGACGGTAACTCATGACGTTTCATTGTATGGTACTGCACCATAGCATGGCGCGGATGAATATGGGATGCCACATGCATCACCTGACTGTGTGAATGCTGACGTCACATCCGTCTCTAATAGCACCAGAGCCACAGCCATGGGCATGACACGTGTCCACACCTGATTGGCAGGCACAGAAAGAAGAACTCACAAAATCGTGAGCTCAGGAAGTAAAGAAATCAAACGAACAAAAAGACAACTCGGCTGCGAAGATATTTTTACAGCGTGCTCAATGTTACGACGTGCGCTCAAGATATTTTTGCCGCTCGCTTACAAAATCATAGACGGGAGAGGCGGTGGGCAGCACAGAGAGGGAGGCGAGCACGGCTGCTGCGAGCATGGCGAGGAGCACCGATAACACCTGCTGACCCCACGACGTGCGCTGCTCCAGCAACTGAGGGGTGGGACAGGAGAGGGGAGGGGGTGAGGGGTGGATGGGGAAACGAGACGAGAGGCCTCACAGCATGGCGAGGAGCACCGAGGACACCTGCTGACCCCACGACGTGCGCTGCTCCAGCAACTGAGGGGTGGGACAGGAGAGGGGAGGGGGTGAGGGGTGGATGGGGAAACGAGACGAGAGGCCTCACAGCATGGCTAGGAGCACTGATGACACCTGCTGACCCCACGACGTGCGCTGCTCCAGCAGCTGAAGGGCGGGAGTTAGAGGATGGGGGAATGAGGGGGGAAAGGTGAGAGGAGACAGACCTTGGAACAAAATCCAGTGAGCAGTCAGCGTAGTGGTAGGCACGGATGACACCTGCTGGCCCCATGCCGTGCGCTGCTCCAACAGCTGAGGGGTGTGAAGGGCGGGAGGTGGATGGGGAGAACGCAGTGAGCAGACAGTTAAGACAGAGACGGGAGAGCTCACAGCTTGGTTAGAAGCACTGACGACGCCTGCTGGCCCCATGCCGTGCGCTGCTCTAGCAGCTGAGGGGAGTAGGAGGGGAGAGGGGTGGATGGGGGAAACACAGGGAGCACATAGTGAAGAAAGAGACGAGAGAGCACACAGCATAGCCATGGGCACAGATTTGATTCTGAGGGGCAGAATGGGGCCGAGGAAGTAACTTTGGGGAAAAGAGAGAGAGAGAGAGCGCGAGTGAACGGCGTGACTTTGAGAACCCAAGTCACCTGCTGGCCGTTTTCTGTGCGCTGCTCGGAGTTAGATGATGGAGGAAAGGGGGAGGAGGAGAGGACGGAATAGAGGCTGATGATTCACTTGGGCAACTACATCGAACCCTCCCGAAGTTGATTTTTGAGTCGACTAAAAATTCGACTCGTCACGAGAGGACGGAATAGAGGCTGACTATTCACTTGGACAATCACATCTAACCCTCTCCAAGTTACGGTGAGAGTATAGACATCACGATGAGAGTTGAGCACGCTCGTTATAATCACCTGGGCGCCAGCAGCGCATGCGCACAGCACCGCCCAGACCGCTCCGTCTGACAGCCCGCCGCCCGCAGCAGCGATGGCTGTAGCTGTAGCAGCTCCGGTGGCCGCGACGGCTGTAGCAGCGGCAGTTGTAGCAGCACCAGTGGCAGCAGCGACAGCCGTAGCAGCATGAGCCGGCATGGCAACACCTGCTACAGCCGCGCCGCATGCAATCGCGATCAGCACGCCCAACGAATCCGCCCCTGCGGCTGTAGAAGCTGCGCTACATCCGCTGCTCGTCCCATTCCCAACCGCCACGTGGCCGGCACATGGCTTCCCGTAAGCCGCAATGCTACAGCCGCGCCTGGTTGTCCGAACTGACTCGTGGGCGGCACGTGGTTTCCTGGAGTCCCCAATGCTACAACCGTCGGCCGTCTCGGCAGCCAGGCTGCAGGCACGGCGGCTCCCATCACGCGCTCTGCTACAGCCTGTCGTATCTAGACTGTGAATGCTTCGGCTACAGCCAAGGTTGTCAATGCTTCGGCTAAATATTAAACCTCCTCTGCTACAGCATGTCCGTCTGCGGGTAAAGTCCTCTCTGCTAGAGCATGTAGCGGCAGCGGATGTGGCGGCAGCGGCTGTGGCGGCAGCCAGGTGAAACGGCGCCACTGCTGCTACAGACCGGAATGGCATGTCTGAGGAGGAGAGGAGGAGACTAACCCGTCAATTCGTCCTAAGTCTGTTATTGAGGCGCCTCAAAGGACAATGAGGAGAAGACTAACTCGTCAATGCGTCCTAGCTGCGGGTATATCAGGATGAGAAGATTCGAGCGCCGACGCTATCGGGAAAGAATGCTCCTCGCGAGGATGGTTCGGAATGTTATAAGAGAAAATGGATAATAATGAAACTGTGTGTCATTCTGAGGTGAGCGTGATACTCATGAAGCCTTTTCTTCGCCACCACGTGAGAATAAGAGGGAATTCAACGTTTAGGACCTGAAAAAATGCGACGAGAACAGGTCCTTAGCCCACTAAATCACGCTGAACGTTTGAAACAAAATTTATAAGTAAAGAATTACTCCTGGACGTTCGTTAGCCTCCTGACCAGCTCTCTCCACAACAGCTGGTCTACTTGGGCTAGAGAATGAGTGGATTCAACCCACTGACACTCCAGGCTCCCAGAACAAAGACGAACGAAATATGCATACTTGCTGGCGCTGTTGCTGTGCTGATCATGAAGCCGTCTAAATACTCCGTGTGGATAAGGATGCCGACATTTTTCCCGCGCTTCTTTTCGCGACTCGCTTTTACAGAGACTAGGAGCACGCTTCGATACGCGTCTTGTAAGAAAGGTACACCAAAGTCCCTACTAATGAGCAGCTTATTTTCTGAATACGGTTGCTTCTGACACTGGAAATATCAACACCGAGAATATCTTCAGATTAACCACTTATATTGGTTACACTACAAGCTTAACAGAATAGACATTATCCCAGAAGTCATTTCTATTCAAATATAATGTCCCCACCAATCGGAAGGTGATCGCTCGGGAAATACAAATTCGGAAGGCCCTTCCCAAGCCTAGCATCTTCCCTGCCTGGGAGCCATAGGGTAGACGTAACTGAAAATGGCCCTGCATCCTTTGATATCAGCACATAATCAATAGTTCCAGAAAATGGTGGATTGAACGTTGTTAACTCCGGCTCTTGCCCAGATTGCCCCACAACCACATCATCCATCCTGTTATTGTTACTCTTAGTATTCATTGTCTCATGGACCGAGGCACCATCCACCTGTTTCTTGCCGTCGCATCCCACTGCCCATGCTTCTGCTGTTGCAACTCCTCCAGACTCTCCTGCTGCTACTCCCGACGTCGCTACCACAGCTGCTACTGCTGTTGCTGCTGTGGCGGCAGCTTCTGCTGCTGTGGCAGGACCTGGTTCAGCAGCCAATAGAATGCTGCCAGCTGTAGCATTAAGGCTTGCCAGTGGTATGGGTGCGATTGGAAATGCAGGTGCGTCTGTTGCTTCTCCTTCTCGCGCTGCTGCTGATGCTGCTGCTGCCTGTGGTGCTGTTGCTTCTGGTGCTGTTGCTTGTGTTGCAGGAACGACCTGGCCTGATGTTAGGTATTTATACACCTGAGATGGGGGGTCATTAGGACGGTGAGAAGGAAGGTGAGAGGATTGGAGTATGTAGCATCCTGTTTTTTTAGGCACCTAAAAAATCGACTTAGCATGTAGCATCCGGTTATCTATTGCGAAACGCCAGGATGTGTAGTTAATAACAGTAAATTTGGGGAATCCTCATGTGTAGACAATAACGGGTGACTGAGGCAAGGTGTGATCATAGCGAATCAGATCCCCTGCAACTGGATTATATAGAGGGGCCGGGACTTGAACTTACGGGGTCACCCGGAAGGGAGTTGAAATCGCCGCAAATGATGGTAACTGGGGTGCTGCCTGCCGCGTTTGTGACACTAGAAGATGTGTGACTGTGCCCGGAGGTGACTATAGAGGATCGGAAGTGCGCCACCTGGTGCAGCAGGTACTGTGCTTGAGCCAGTTTCACGTCTGCACATGCTGGGTCCCTGGAGGGGTGTGGGATGGTGGATGGTGGATGTCGTATGGGGGATGTGGGATGGTGGATGGTACATGCTTTTGAGACGACTCAAGTAACTGTGCCACCTGCTGCAGCAGGTTCACGTCTGCACATGCTGGGTCCCTGGAGGGGTGTGGGATGGTGGACGGTACATGATGTGTATGGTGTGGTATGGTATGGTATGGTATGGTATGGTATGGTATGGTATGGTATGGTATGGTGGTAAGGCATGCTATGGTGTGGTACGATGTGGTACGATGCGGTACGATGTGGTGAAACATATGTGGACGACTGAAGAACACCTACCACATGATGACAAGGCAATCCTTGGTTCCAAGCAAAAGCAACCAACACGAAGATGTGAAATGATCCCAGTCATTGGTTCTCGAGAAATTTTGAAAAGACATTGAAACTGAAACTGACCAGAAGATGTGAGATGATGCCACCACCACCACTCGCCCCTCTCCCCGTTGCCCTCTATCTCCCCCGCTCCCTCCCATCCCTTCCCTAACCGCCTCCACTCCCGCCTTGCTCTCCCCATCCTCTGCCTCGTCTCCCTCCACTTCCTCCCCCACCCTTTCTTGGAACGCCGCAACGATGGCGACACAGTCACGCTTGAAGCGAACACGGGGGTCAAACAGGTCTCGGGATTCGGACAAGTCAGGACCATCAGTCTGCTTCTGATTCGCCTCCAACACAAGGGGTGTAGATAGGTTTCGGGGTTCTTGGGATAAGTCAGGACTGGGAGTGCTTTCTTGGCCCGGCTGGTCTGGCTGGTCTGCTTGGTCTGGAGGAACTAAGTCATTGAAATGGATTGGCTGCGAGCGAAGCAGGCGAAATCTGGAGAAAGCAAGGGCGGAGAAACCATAAGGAAGAGTGGTGTTATTCTTGTTTTGACCATAACCAGAAACACAACAGCTCATGACAGCAAGGAAAAATCTATGAGCAAACAAACCAGCAAAGCTGCAGCAGCACCCGCACCTCTCGAAGCCACAGCACTCGCTTTTATCCCACTGCCTCAGTTCCCAGTCATCTCCCATGAATACCTCATCCTCGTCTGCTAGATTTGTGAGAGCTGCCAATTTCACTGCCGATTTGGTAGTTTCAGTTCAGCACAGCCTAAGCTCACCTGCTGGATTTAAAAAAGATGCCGCTTCCGTCCCTCTTCTTGCCCGGCCTCTTCACATACACGCTCTCCCACCCCGCTGCTGCCATGGGCTGTCGATACACTGCCTCGTACTCATCCATCTCCTGGGGGAGTCAGAGAGAAGAGAGGAGAGGGAGAGTGAGCGGGAAGGGGGGAAGGGGTTTTGGGGACGTCTCTGAAACAGCCTGCTGCTGCCATGGGCTGGCGATACACGCCCGCATACTCGTCCATCTCCTCGCAGGGAAAGTGAGAGAGAACAGAGGGGGAGTGAGGAGAGACGAGGAGGGAAAGAGATTTTTGAGACATCTCATTAGCATGCTGCTGCCATGGGCTGGCAATACATGCCTGCATACTCGTCCATCTCCTGGGGGAGACGAAGAGGGAGGAGAGGGGGAAGAGGGGAAAAAGAGGGGGGTCTGAGAAGCACCCACCGCTGCCATGGGCTGCTGATACACACCACACCTGTGACATCACCCCACTGCACCTACAGCTGCAACAGCTCTGCTACGGAGGTCACTGGCAAGCACCTGTGTTACCAGAACCTGTGGTTACCTGCATGTGTGGTAACCGCACCTGAACACAGAGGAAGTCAGCAGAGAGAGCCGGCAGCAGCGTGAGAAGCGCCTTGAACCGATTCCTCTGCCTGGTTGGGGGAGGAGGGGGGCGGTGGTGTGGAAGCATGGAGTGGGAGGGCCGCATGGGGAGGTGGGGGGGAGGGAGAAGTATGGATAATGGAGGGAGGAGGAAGAGAAACTGAAAAAGAGGAGGTTACTAGTAATGATTGCGTCAGGGGATTGACAATCAGGTGGGACGACTGACATCCATCGGGGAAAGCAAGGTAAGGAAGGAGCAGAATGCTTCGCTGGTGGAATGCTTGGGAGTGCGTTGATTGAGTTGAGAGGCGCCTTGGAGGGCAAGGCATGGCTCCAACGGAAGGGAATAAGTGCAACGAACACAACACACTTAAAACTGCTCTAAGGAAGTAAACTGGAACGCGTGCTTTGATTACTCATAAATGTTCCATTCATGAAAGGGTTCGCCTGGAGAACGACTTTGCTGGTAGACTGCATTAAAAGGTTTTACTAGAAAATGGAATCTATTCTTGAGGCGCCTCAAGAAGGGTACCTGAGGCTCTGTGGTGGTGAGTTGGGGAAAAGCTCACTCTTGACGTATGCCTGCACGTGAGTTGTACACACGTGGACATGGATGTGACAAAAACGCATGGAGGAGAGGACACACACACACACATGCCATGCACGATGAATTTATGCCATATGCTTGACGTATGCCTGCGAGCAAGTTATGCACATGGACATGCACGTGACGAACATGCATGGACAGGACACATGCATGCATGCGCACATGCATGAACGACAAAATCGCACTTGTGCGTCATGGCACGCAAATCGCTGGCCGCTGAACTGCTGCTGCTAAGAATTGTATCAGATGACTGTACAGTATTGTACAGTGTGGTACAGCACAGTACACCGCACTGCACCATTGGATGTTCTAATCGCATGCACGAGCCAGCCCCAGCTCCGCATCACATCACACGCCTGTGCCAGTCACAACCCCAGCACCACAGCGCACCGCACCGCACCACACCAAACCACATCACATGCCTGCGCCAGGATATTGTAGGAGACGACACGAAGCGACAAGCCTGCAGGAAGCAGAAAGTGCAGAGAGTGGCAAGGGAGGGGACGGGAACGTCAGGTTGATTGAGAGAGACAGAGAGAGTGGGGACGAGAGGATGAGTAGCAGCTTCAAATGACCATACAATGGTAGACGATAATCGTCCCATCTCCATGGAGAACCAATCCCCAACTATCCCATCCAAAACCATCCCACATCATCCAGCCCATCGGGCCATCCCTATAGAATGCGAATCGGGCCTCATTCATCACAGTAGGAAAACCCCCCGTACCCTCACCATCCTTTCCACTTGCGCTTGATTCCCCCCCAACAGCAAGAAACTCCGGAATCATCAACGCTGCGCCTTCGCCTCCGCCTCCTCCCCCACGTTCCCCGCGTTCCCCACGTTCCCCGCGTTCCCCACGTTCCCCGCGTTCCCCTCGTTCCCCGCGTTCCCCACGTTCCCCGCGTTCCCCGCGCCTCCCCCCATTTGTCCCTTTTTCAGCCTTTTCCCGATTCCCCCTCTCCTTCACTCGTCTAAATTTCCCTCCCTTGCTCCCCTCGCCTCCCTCTTCCCCTCCACCCTCTCCCACCGGCCCCCTTCCGCCGCTCGTCCGCTCCACCCTCCTCGTGCCCTTCCCTCCCTTCCCGGCTTCGAACTTCCCCGTGACTTCCCCATTTTCCGCAAACTCCCCGCGCGCGGGAACCTCCAGCCGTTGATCCGGCTCGTTCAAGCTATGGGGGGCCGTTGATTCAATTCCGATTCTCGATCTAGCTTCACTTCGATCCACCGCCTCCGCAGCTCCCGGCGGTTTCTCCGGGATCCCAGGGCTGCTGTCCTCATAACCCATGTCCGCACAGCGGCCTTCGCGCCGACTAGACAACTTGTGTCGAGGAACCTCAATGCGCGAAGTGCTACTAGCACTGAAGATAGTCACTTCAGGCAGTGTTGAGGAAAGGGGTGTGAATCTCGGGAACAAACTAGCCAGATGAGAATATGAAAGCCGAGAGGGGGAGAGGCGGAAATCTGGACAGCTTCTGGCAACGCGGAAGCTGCAGAAAAAGAGACACTTCGAGCCGCGCGGGCTGATGAGTAGCGGCAGGCGACTACTGGTACCTGCGCGTGCAATGCGGGACACGGAATGTGCGGTTAAGAGAGCATCGCGTCGCAAGTACTGGATAGTCGCAGCGGCTTTCAGCGCTGGAGATCCGGAGCGAGGAATGGTGATCATGGACGGTTGCTGTGCTGATGCGGGGAGCGAAAAGCGTCAACGGTAACTCGTCGTCCACGTGTTCGGGGTTGACGTCATGTTGTGAGTTCTGATCAGTGTCAGTGGCAGATGTCAGAAGCAGTGTTTCTAGGAATGTATTTTCATGTCTATGCTTTGAAGAGTGTATATTTTGATTATCTAACTCTTTATAGAAGTAGCGGGTCGAGCATATATCCTCACGCCCCATCCCCAACATCCCTTCCAGCTGAGCACATGACTTTCGTGGTCAGAAACGTGTGAGCAAATCGCGACTACACGTGGCCGCCTCTTCACAAAGTGTCCTGAAGTTCTGGATTCCACCCCCATCTGGTCTTCATTTTCAGCCTAGCAAACTCGTGTCGCGGGGGACCTAAATATTCTTTTCTTTGGGGCTGATAGTTTTTTTGGGCAAAACAGTTCATAATCCAGTTCAGAACAGCCAAGTGCAGAAGCACTATGTCGGTTGTTGAGGGCATGGTGCACCACGTCAGTGAACCATCACCGTACAGAACCAATGTTAGAACTTCACAACCGTTTCCCATCCAGTAATATGATCTTTCGACCTGTAAATGTCCGCAGAGCATGCCCTGGGCTGGAAAGTCGGTCCACTAGTGAAATTAATTTTCCACAGTCCCCATAATTTCTCTGCCCACCAATCAGAACCGCAGCCAGGCTTTGAGCTTGGAGCACAGCACACTCATCACGCTTCCTTCAAGGTTCGATCATCCTTCATCATCCATCCCATCTCCCTTTTTCCCTCTCCAATCTCGAGGTCTCCCGTCTTGATCAGCATTGCGTCGGTGTTCCTAGGGATTTTCAGAGACACAGCAGCCGACGCCGTACTGAGTCCATTCAGGGGAACCCGTAGGTTCTAATTACTACCAAGTCAAGCCAGTTAATAAACTGTCTTGGCTCAGAGCTCAGGTTCCGTATTCCAATAGGTGTACGGACTTCGAGCTCCAATGGCTGCTTCCAGCCAAGCCCTTCGCTCAGGGCTCTCCTCCGTGAGAGCAGCGAGCAGCACCCCAACCGACATCTCTTCCTCGCGTCGTGATGGCCAGAATCGCAATAGGCTCGTTCTTCAAAAGAGTCCGTTTCTAGGACAACGAAGCACGCCAGCCGGCCGGCTGCTTCTTCCAGCGAGGTCTTCCCTTAACCATGTACGCTCCTCGTCTGCTCTTCGCGTTAACGCTGTTATCGAAGCACCTCCTAACGGAAGCGTCAGACAAGGCGATAATTCCTCCCCATGGACCCCGGAGGAAGAAGACGGCGGTCGCGCGCTGTACAGCGCTTCGGGAAGATCAGAAGCGAAAGTCGTCGGAGCGACGGTTATCGCTACCAGCAACGGAAGCGCGGTGAAAATGGTTCTGGCTGATGAGTTCGGTAAGAACGGCGCAGCGAACGGAGCGGCGAACGGAGCCGCAAAAGCTGCCGCTGTGGAGGAGAAGATTGGCGAAGGGTCGAAGGGTGTGGAGGAGCTTACTGTGGAGGATCGGCCATGGTTCGAGAAGGCTCGGGCTAGCAATGTGCAGGTTCGTCCTCGTTATTAACGTCTCGCTGTTACAAGATGCTCGTGGGTGAGGTGATGATTTCCTTATCTTCTTAGCATGGCGTCCGTGGCATCGTGTGACCCCACGGTCTCGTTTCATGTGTAGCTTCGAGTCTTCGACGCCAGAACGGGGTCGATTACTGGAAAATCGCGTTAAATAAGACGTCTTGGATTTTTTTGACGTGGCATTGTTGACGTGGCTGACAGGTGTCCGTGACGCCAGGCGGGCGGTGGAATCACTTCAAGACGTACTCCGTCATCCAGCGCACCTTCGAGATCTGGAGCTTCGTTATTGCCTTCCTCGTTAAGGTACGCGTCCTATGGGCTCTCAGTTGCTTGATACGTTGTAGTGTAAAAAGAGTCTCTGGTTTAGGGAAAAAGAATACCGGCACATTCATCTGATCTTACATCGTGCGAGAAGTAAATTTATCCTCTACGGAGGGAAAGCGAGAATTGATAGCGTTTATGTTGAACCGGACCGCGAAATCGTTAATTTAACACGCACAAAAACTTTGACGAACATCCGACGGTCTAGACGGTTATCAGGGGACAACCCCATGACGACCACACGAATACCAGCACAGCAGGCCCTTCATATAAACTTTTTTCACCCCCTTCTCACCCCCGCTTCTCCCGCTGACCGCGTGTCCAGGCGTGGCTGATCAACCGGCCGTGGATGTACCGCGGGGGAGTCACGGACGCGAAGAAGGGCGAGCGGCGGCGGGAGCTCGCGCGGTGGCTCAAGGAGGGGCTGCTGCGGCTGGGCCCCACCTTCATCAAGATCGGCCAGCAGTTCTCCACCCGCTCGGATCTACTGGCTCAAGAGTACATCGCAGAGCTCTCAGAGCTGCAGGTGAGGGGTTGGTCTGGTCGTTGTGTAGGGTTGGGGTTCTCTCACTAGGGTGCTGCATGGAAGGAGGGGCTGCTGCGGCTGGGCCCCACCTTCATCAAGATCGGCCAGCAGTTCTCCACCCGCTCGGATCTCTTGGCTCAGGAATACATTGCGGAGCTTTCAGAACTTCAGGTGAGAGGGGTTGGGACGCGCGTTGCTAGGGTCTGGGTTCACTTTCTCGCTAGGTTGCGTGGTGGTGGATGCGCGCTGGCTGCATTGAAGGAGGGTCTGCTGCGGCTGGGTCCCACGTTCATCAAGATTGGCCAGCAGTTCTCCACCCCCTGGGAAAGCCATTCCCTTATCAACCGCCTCCCACCTCCCCCCCCCCCCCACCTTCCCCTTCTCTCTCGCGATCCGAACCAAGTGCCGCCATTCGAGTCGGACACGGCTCTAGACATAGTGAAGTCGGAGCTGGGCAAGCCCATCTACGAGGTGTTTGAGCGCTTCGACCGCGACCCCATTGCATTCTGAGTCGGCTACACCCCACTCTCCCCCTCCCCCTCTCTGTCATCCCTCCCACAGGACCAAGTGCCGCCATTCGAGTCCGATACCGCTCTGGCCATCGTCGAGTCCGAGCTAGGCAAGCCCATCTACGAGGTGTTTGAGCGCTTCGACCGCGACCCCATCGCATTCTGAGTCCACTCCATACACACCCCTCTCTCCCCCTCCCCCTCTTGGGCACCGCGTCCACCCTTCCCCCCACAGGACCAAGTGCCGCCGTTCGAATCCGACACAGCCCTAGCCATTGTGGAGTCGGAGCTAGGCAAGCCCATCTACGAGGTGTTTGAGAGGTTCGACCGCGACCCCATCGCGGCGGCCAGCCTGGGGCAGGTGCACCGCGCGCGGCTGCAGGGCAGGGAGGTGGTGGTGAAGGTGCAGCGGCCGGGGCTCAAGGACCTGTTTGACATCGACCTCAAGAACCTGCGCGTGCTGGCCGTGAACCTCCAGAAGATTGATCCCAAATCGGATGGGGCTAAGCGGGACTGGGTGGCGATTTACGACGAATGCGCTTCGGTACTTTACGAGGTGGGTGTGGGTGTGGTGGTGCGTGACTGGGGTGAAGAGATGGACTGTATTGCATGATGTCAGGTGTGGCGCTAAGAGGGACTGGGTGGCCATCTATGACGAATGCGCGTCCGTTCTCTACGAGGTGGGTGTGAACGCATGAGATGAGTGTGATTGTTGTGGTATGTGATTGTAGTGCAGGACATGGACTATGTGAAGGTGCCAGGTGTGCTGGTGGTAGGCAGCACCAGACCCTCTCTCCCCCTCCCTCGCCTTGCTTCAACTCTCGTTCCACTCCCAGGAAATCGACTACATGAAGGAGGGGAAGAACGCGGACCGGTTCCGCGAGAACTTCAAGGACATGGACTATGTGAAGGTGCCCACCATATACTGGCAGTACACGACATCGCAGATGCTGGTGATGGAGTATACTCCAGGCATCAAGATCAACCGTATTGATGCGCTGGATAAACTGCAGGTCGACAGGAAGAGGTACGGTACGGGTCATGGTCTGGGTTGTAGAGATGAGTGGGGTTCGTGAAGGGAGTGGGGGGTTGCGCGTATGCACCGGTGCAGATGCTGGTGATGGAATACACACCCGGCATCAAGATCAACAGGATTGACGCGCTGGATAAGCTGCAGGTCGACAGGAAGAGGTACGGCTTGGCTGTAGGTGGCACGCGCACGTGCACATGCATGTGTGCTGATGGCGCCTCCGGCCATCGATCTGAGAGTTATAATAAGCGAATTCCATAATTCAGGTAGGATCCACCCACCATCTACCTCCGCCACTCCCATCATCGCATAATGCTGGCAGGCACCCATCATCGATGTCATGCCAGTCACCGTCTGTCTTTGCATTGTATGCTTCTCCGCCTCCCCTTTCCTCGCATCCACTTGTCCTCGTTACAGGCTGGCTCGCTACTGTGTGGAGTCGTACCTGGAGCAGATCCTCAGCCACGGGTTCTTCCATGCCGACCCGGTGAGTGTCCGATGGTGCTGGTGATGATGCTGGTGATGCTGGTGATGCTGGTGATGCTGGTGATGCTGGTGATGCTGGTGATGCTGATGATTCTTGAGGCGCCTCAGAAACCGCCTCACGTCTCGCCCATTTCCACGTGGATGGAGGAAGTGTCTGTTCGGTGATGGTGATGGTGATGGTGATGGTGATGGTTGTTGATGCGTCGATACGTCACCGCTTTACAATGCCACTGCTGATACTTCATTGATCCTGAATGATGAGTTGCGGTGGTGTGTGCCTCGCTGTCTCTTCATAACTGAAATTTCGTGCACCCATGCTGCCATGCACGCTTCCTCATGTGCATTTCTCCTTCTTATGGCTGTATGTGTGTGTTGGCATGCATGCACGTCCATCTGTGCAGCATCCTGGCAACATTGCAGTGGACGATGTCAATGGCGGCCGGCTGTGAGTCATGCACCCGTGCATCAATGCGCTCATGCATCCATGCACTCATGAACCATGCACCAATGCACCCATGCACCCACGTTGCCATAGAAACACATGCACCCCTTCGCACATGCAATCATGCACAGCCAACTTTGGGAGCGTGCAGCCATACGCTGCTCTGTCACACATTGACCACACAGCTCATGCACCCTCCCCCTCACCCACAGCATGTTTCAGCTACGTTCTAATTTCATTTTCTTCTCATTTTCGTTTTTCCATCTAACGTTTTGTTTCCATTTTCATCTCTTGTGTGTCTTCCCTCTGGCCCCTGTTATCCCTTCCTCTCTTGGTCCTCTGTCCGGCTCCTGCCGCCCCTGCCACCGTCACTGCTGCTGCTGCTGCAAATGTTGCTGGTGCTGCAATGCAACATCATCCTTGGATCATTCTGTTGGTCGTGACCCCATTGCCCAACACTGTTGACCCTCTCACAGCATCTTCTACGATTTCGGCATGATGGGAACGTAAGCTTCTCGAACCAGTTATTTAATCCAATTACCAATTTATTTCGATCCAGGTGAGTTTTGAGGCGCCTAAAATATGAGATGAGTTTTAAGGCGCCTCAAAACTCACGCACGATGGGAACGTAAGCTTCTCTAACCACTTCCATTTTACCTCAATCCAGGTGACTTCTCTTGTTCAATTGGATTCTCAGTTCACAAATGCGTCCCCTTTGTCCCACTCTCCCTTCGCATTCGTTCTTTTTCTTCGCTGGTGGGCCGGTCCCATTCTCTCTTCTCTATGTCGTTCATTCAGCATCCCCTCTGACATCCGCGAGGGGCTGGTGGAGGCGTTTTACGGCGTGTATGAGAAGGACCCTGACAAGGTGCTGGACGCCACTCACTCCCCTGCCACTCTCGCTCTTCTCCGCCCCCCTGCACCCAACGTGCAGCATACCCTCGGATATTCGTGAAGGCCTGGTGGAAGCATTCTACGGGGTGTACGAGAAGGACCCCGACAAGGTGCTGGATGCCATGGTGCAGATGGGCGTGCTCGTGCCCCCTGGCGACTCTATCCTCCCTTCCCCCCTCCTTACCTCCCTCCCTCCCACCCAACCTGATCCCTCTGAACACCTGGTGGTGCCGATAGCAAACTCTACCCTCCCTCCCGCTCTCCCTTCCCTCCCCTACTGCCTACAGCATCCCCTCGGATATCCGTGAAGGATTAGTCGAAGCATTTTACGGGGTGTATGAGAAGGACCCCGACAAGGTGTTGGACGCCATGGTGCAGATGGGTGTGCTCGTGCCCACAGGCGACCGCACCGCTGTGCGGCGCACGGCCCAGTTCTTCCTCAACTCGTTTGAGGAGCGCCTGGCACAGCAGCAGGCGGAGGCCAAGGCGAGCGCGCCCATGACCAAGGAAGAAGCCCAGGCGAAACGCAAGATGCGTCTCTCTGCTATCGGTGAGTGGGGCTTGCTGTGCTGATGATGCTCATGGTGGTGGTGTGTGGTGAGCGCCTGGCACAGCAGCAGGCGGAGGCCAAGGCGAGCGCGCCCATGACCAAAGAGGAGGCGCTGGCTAAGAGGAAGATGCGGCTGTCGGCTATCGGTGAGTGGGGTTTGCAGTCGTGCTGATGCTGGTGGTGTGTGGTTCATGCAAAGAAGCCAAGGCGAGTGCTCCCATCCCATGACCAAGCAAGGGGCCCTGGCAAAGAGGAAGATGCGGCTCTCTGCCATTGGTGAGTGGGGCTCGCTGTTCTGATGATGCTGCTGGTGAGCGCCTGGCACAGCAGCAGGCGGAGGCCAAGACGAGTGCGCCTATAGGAAGAGGCACTGGCTAGGAGGAAGATGTGGCTCTGTGCCATTGGTGAGTGGGGCTCGCTGTTCTGATGCTCATGGTGGTGGTGGGTTTCGAGACTTGTCAAAAACCACCAGTGATTCACCGAGGCGTTCCGTTCCATCCACGCACAAGTGCAGCGAAGTCCACCCGCATGTGGACATCTTCATTCTCTCCAATTTCGTGCGCTGCAATTTCGTCCCATTTTTGTTTCTGTACCTCTTGGCGCTGAGATGAGATTTGCCGTCTCATGTGCTCTGCTCCCTCATGTGCTCAGCCCTCTCCCTCATGTGTTCCGCCCTCCATGACCCACCAACAGGAGAGGACCTGTTGGCCATCGCAACGGACCAGTTGTTCCAATTCCCACCCACTCCTTGTCTCTGGCTGCGCTCTTCTCTCTCATGCTCTCTGCTCTCATGTTACCTGCTCTTCAACATTCTCCGCCCGCTCGCGTGCTCCTCCCTTTGTGTCTCCCACCAACAGGAGAGGACCTGTTGGCCATCGCAGCTGACCAGCCGTTCCGATTCCCAGCCACGTAAGCAGCTCGGGTCTTGCTGTGTGGCATGGCCGCACACTCGCAGCATGAGCAGAGGAATGGCATGGCATGGCGTGGCATGGCAAGGTTGAGTTGAGCAGCAAAGGGCATGCCAGTCACATGGCATGGTCGTCACGCATCCGCTTCCGTTTCAAAAGAGTCATTCCATGTCAGCAACAAACTGCGCGGCATGATCTTTGCCTCTTTGTTACGCCCCACGTTTGTCTGCTCTGCATGCCTTCTCTGTCGGTCATCACGTCATGTCTCTTGTGACAGGCACTGGCAAGGGCCAGGCCACCCTGTACTCCACGAGAGAACCAAGGCGATTTTTGAGGCGCCTCAAAAAGCACTGGCAAGGGCCAGGCCGCCCTGTACTCCACTTTCCCCTACCTTTTCAACATCTCCCCCTCCCCTTCTCCCCTCCCTCCCCCTTCCATCCCCCCTCTCCCCCTGCAGCTTCACCTTTGTGGTGCGCGCCTTCTCAGTGCTGGACGGCATTGGCAAGGGGCTGGACACCAAATTTGACATCTCCGAGATTGCCAAGCCGTAAGCCCGCTCAAACCCCACTTCCCCCACCCCCCCCCCCCCTTCCCTCTCCTTCTGCTGCTCCCTTCACTTCTGCTGCTATTTGTTCCTTCTGCTGTTTCCCCAAAACCACCTTCCCCATCTCACCCTCTCCCCATATCGCCCCGCATCCACCTATCCCCTGGACGTCCTTCGCTTCTGGGAGGTGGGCACCGAGCTCCGGCTTCTGAGTTGCCTCAAAATCCCTTCTCTTCCCTCCCATGTAACCCCTTCTCCATGCCCCCTCCCCATCTCGCCCCTCATCCAGCTATGCTCTGGAGCTCCTTCGCTTCCGGGAGGTGGGCACCGAGCTTTTCTTCAAGGTGAGCCCGCCCTTGCACTCTCGATACCTGCACACACATTTTGATTTTCAAAGCATAACATCCCCGGGCTGGTCTTCCTACACATGCTGATGATGCCATGCCATGCGTGCGAGCGGGCTGCTTACTGTCTACATCGATGCCATTGTCATGCGTGCTTTTCCGCATCAGATTTCTTCCCCGTTCCACCACTATCAAATGTGTCGGGTGAGCAGGACTTGAAGAAGCGGTGGGACCGCCAATCCCAGGCCTTCCGGAACCTTCTCAGGCAGCCCAGCCGCGTGGAGAAGCTTGCTGACGTCATCCTGAGACTGGTACGCAATGCGAGTTTGGATTGGGTGGACCGTGCTTTTCTTGCTGTGCTCTAGATGTCGTTTTATGCTTTTTGAGGTGGGCTGACGTTTATGATTTACTGCTGTTTCATTGTCAGGGTCACTGGACTGCACGGACGTATGCACACATATTTGCATGCATACGTTCATACCTATGCATACCCATCCACATCCTCACTCCTCTTACTCCTCCTTGCTGATCCACAGGAGCAAGGTGACTTGAAGCTGAGAGTGCGGACTCTGGAGAACGAGAGAGCGTTCAAGAGAGTGGCGACTATGCAAAACACCATTGGCAGCGTAAGAGCCTTCTGCTTGCATGCACTGTCCACACCGCAAATGCTCGTCACTACAACATATATTCCATGCATTCAATGCCTTTGTCTTCCGCTATATCCTTTTGTGTCTATCGGTCACATCACCGACTCCCCTCCCCCCTTAATGCCATCATTGCATTCTTTTCCATCCCTGCAGGCCATAGCAGCAGCCACCCTGATGAATGTGGCTTCAGCCATGCACATTGCCTCCCGCAAAACGCCTGCTACGTTGCTCCTGCTGGCCAGTGCCATGTTTGGCATGCGCGTTCTGATTGGTCTCATGCAAGTGAAGAAGCTGGACGAGCAGGAGAAGCTTATTATGGGTGTTGCATGAGTATAGTCTTAGTCCATGCTAGAATGGTGGCTCATGAGATATACTAAATGTTAACACCTGCAAACAACGTGTATTATTAGTGGCTATATCTTCATCTGAGTGTTGACAGTTGCAGCGCCACGTCCCACTGTAGTACACCCTCTTTCTCGCTAGTAGAGCATCTGGTTGCAGAACATACACGGGTTGTAGAACGTCACCACGTTCAGAACGGTCTTGTCACCAACTGTACAAGCACAATGCGACTTATGCGGTTAGGTGATGTGATGCAACGTTACAAACAAATTTGTCCGCGTTTTCATTTGGTTGGGTAAGGTATACAGCGATAACGGAAATTTTACGCCCTTGAGCCAGTTTGTGAAGTGGTTCGGCATTTCCCCCCAGGTTGCTAGGAACGTTTTATGGCACCTGACCGCATGAGACAAGTACTGTAGCAACGAGTCGCGCTAGGTGAAAAGGTTGAGAAAGAGGGTGTACAGCTGTTTGAGCACAACAAGAGCTCATGGCGTGGATGAACGACTCGCGACGCGATGTGCAGTTGCTACAGTTCCATTCTCGGGATCCGATTCTGATCTACAATCACGTGAACCAGGTGATCTGACCTCACTTCTGGAAGGCTGCACTTTCGGTCTTCTAGACATCAACCTGAAAACGCCAGCCCCCTCCACCAGCAAGGCTTGTCTCGGACCCCAAGCAGCTCCAGCTCGATAGCGTCGACCTTCTTGTTCCCCAATTCTCGAAAGCTTATTGGCCCTAGCTGTGCGGCGGCGAGACGCTGAGGAAAGCATTGCAAATTCACGCCTCGGCAGCACACATGCTTGGAAAGTTGTGCCGTTCAGATCAGAGAACAGTGCAGGTTCAGCGAGATCCTGTCAGATCATTCCCGGGTACTGTAAAGGGGCTAAACTTTCTCCCCCGCCGATGCCCAAAAACATCGTGTTTTATCTCAGGTTTGACGAATCCTAGTTATCGCAGTGAATATTGACTCTATTTCCGAACATCGAAATGCACTGGGTAGCATAGACGAAAAACACTCCTTCCGAAACAGCCCGAAATATGGACTTCCAGGCGGATGGCATAGCAGGACAAGGAAAGCACACAACGCATCGCATCAGCTGCCCTATCCGAGGAAGGCTGCAAGCAAACAAGCCTCGGCTCAGATGCTCACCCCCCCTCCCTTCCAGTGCTTGTCATGTCACCGCCATACGCCACCCAGCAGCAGACCTCACCTCACACAATCACACAACAAACAAACCAACCTTCCAACCCAAAGTTCGTGCCTCTCTCAAAACTCGACCAAACCTTCCTTCGTCATCATCACCACCAGTCTGCCACCCAGCAGTAGGTGTAGTGCAGGTCCTTCGTTTGCTTCAAAGGTGCGTGAATCAAACCTCCTGCACACAGCATGTCTTCTCGTTCGTTCAACCAACTGAGAATCCGATACGTCCATTTACAGTATCAGGTAGACCCAAGGATTCTAGATCAGCGGGTTTGGTGCGAGGGAAGTGAGATCGAGAGAAAGAGAGAGACAGGGCTCTGGCATTACTTGATATCGATTTTTGGATTGAGAAAGCTTGCTTTCTTATTTTTATCAATTGGCATCGTTCTCATTACAACTGGCTTATTACAACATTTGCATCGAGATTGAACACAAGCTAGTGCATGCTAATATCACTAGCTAAGATGTACCCTATCCAAGTGGCATTAGCAAGGTGTTCTACGCTGGGGTGGGTGGTGGGGATGTTGAGTGAGCCGTTTGAAATAGAGAAACGTGGGTGGAGGGAAATGAGCTCCAACCCACGGTTTTTGTAGTTGGAGAAGGGCGTTTAGCGCGCTTCGACGATGCCAATTGTGCAGTACAAGCAGCTTCGCTTTCACAATACACAATTTAAAAAAACACAATGTGTGTTTAAAAATTATAATGTTGCGTAGCAACCCCTTTATATTTGGTAGCACTTTTTTCGGTCGACTCGAATGAACAGTGCATTTTTTGTCACTTTCCCAACGTCTGAAGCACTCGCTTTAACGTTTTGAGAATGTGTGCTTCAAATGTGTGGAGATGACAGCCACTGCTACACAAGAGTCTCCAAAAAAAGTGAAACCAAATGAGACCAATTGTTCCAAAATCGTCGATAAATACGGCGAACGGAAACAATTGGTAGCCTTGCAATATTTTAGGGTGCATCACACACAACTGATGAGACAAAAAAATCAACGTGGATGCAAATTACGGTATTTGCATCTACCGTATAGAACATGTGCAAAACGACAACACTCAACAACATTAAATGTCATAAAGTGAATGGCAAAATGCATCAGCGCTACAATAGCGATGGATCCGGTATGCTAAGGCGAGCAAAGCTGCCCCAACAACGATCCCCACCTCAATTGCAGACCTGACACACTTTAACATGACACCTTACAACAAACACGAACGAGGACATGCGACATTGTACTGGTACAATGACGACAACGCATAACAATAATTAAGTGTCTTGGGGAGAATGCTAAAATGCATCGATGATGCAACAAAGGTTGGTCTGGCACGCTAAGGCTATTGCCCCACCGGCGATCACAACCTGAGTTGCATACACGAGGCACTTCAGCACACGCCTTGAGACAGACACAAAACGAATCGAACAACACGACTGCACATACATATCTCACACAGGCTCACACACTCACATACACACTGACACGCACGCAAACAAGCACTGATACATACGGATAGTCAATACCCAATCATCATGAAATTCAGCTATTAATAAATAATCACTAGCCAATCACCCCTTACCCTCCCTACACCCCTCCCTCCCCCCTCCCCCCCTCCCCACCTCCCTCCCTCCCTCCCTCCCTCCCTCCCTCCCTCCCTCCCTCCCTCCCTCCCTCCCTCCCTCCCTCCCTCCCTCCCTCCCTCCCTCCCTCCCTCCCTCCCTCTCTCCCTCCCTCCCTCCCTCCCTCCCTCCCTCCCTCCCTCCCTCCCTCCCTCCCTCCCTCCCTCCCTCCCTCCCTCATCTCCCTCCCACCCCCTCCCTCATCTCCCTTCTCTGCCAAACAAAATCAACGAATGCAGCTCACGCGCCCTGCACAGAGCAAAAACAGAGAATGCAAAGCACGCACCTCGCACAAGAAAAAGGCAAAAACAAATAATGTTCACACACTGTACAAAAAAATCAATAAAACGCATAATGCTTCCCCGCGAGGAGGCCAAGCAGGAAACTTGACAAGCAATGGAATTTTGACAACTCACAGAGGTAAAATGGTATGGCACCACAGTACTATGCCAACATGATGCAATACATTACAGCCACCCTCACGTTCAACTTCACAATCACGCTCAACTCACTCTTGTACTCAATCTTGCACCCACTCACACACAGACACACAAAGACTCTCAACTTTCTTAGACACTCTCTGAGAAACAAACACACAAACCTACACGCTCTCTCACGCGCTCTCTCACACGCACTCTCTTGCACACTCTCACGCGCACTTTCACGCGGACTCTCACGCGCTCTCTCACGCGCTCCCTCACGCGCTCCCTCACGCGCTCTCTCACGCGCACTCTCACGCCCTCTCTCACTCGCTCCCTCACGCGTCTCTCGCGCGCTCACTCACGCGCACTCTCACGCGCTCACTCACGCGCACTCTCACGTGCACTCTCACGCGCCCTCTCACGCACCCTCTCACGCGCTCTCTCACGCGCTCCCTCACCTGCCCTCTCACGCGGCCTCTCACGCGCTTCCTCCCCTGCCCTCTCACGCGCTCCCTCACCTCACGCGGCCTCTCACGCGCACTCTCAAGCGCACACGCACTGTCACGCACTCTCTCACGTGCACTCTCACGCGCACTTTCACGCGCTCTCTCACACACTATCTCACGCGCGCACTCTTCTTACACGCTCTCTCACGCGCACTCTCACGTGCACTCTCACGCGCACTCTCATGCGCACTCTCACGCGCACTCTCACGCGCGCTCTCACACGCACTCTCACACGCTCCCTCACGCGCACTCTCACGCGCTCCCTCACGCGCGCTCTCACATGCGCTCTCACACGCGCTCTCACGCGCACTCTCACGCTCTCCCTCACGCGCTCTCTCACGTGCGCACTCTCACGCGCACTAACACGCGCACTTTCACGCGCTCTCTCACATGGCCTCTCACGCGGCCTCCTGGCGCCAGAGCGCTAATCGCCAAGGCGCAAGGCACCAGCGCACTAGGCGCCAGCACGTTAGGTGCCAGAGCGCAAGGCGCCAGCGCGCTAGGCGCCAGCGCGCTAGGCGCCAGCGCTTTAGACGCCAGCGCGCAAGGCGCCAGCGCGCAAGGCGCCAGCCCGCACGGCGCCAGCGCGCACGGCGCCAGCGCGCACGGCGCCAGCGCGCATAGGCGCCAGCGCGCAAGGAGCCAGCGCGTTAGGCGCCAGCGCGCAAGGCGTCAGCGCGCACGGCGCCAGCGCACACGGCGCCAGCGCGCACGGCACCAGCGCGCACGGAGCCAGCGCGCATAGGCGCCAGCGCGCAAGGCGCCAGCGCATTAGGCGCCAGCGCGTTACGCGCCAGCGCGCAAGGCGCCAGCGCGCACGGCGCCAGCGCGCACGGCGCCAGCGCGCAAGGCGCCAGCGCGCACGGCGCCAGCGCGCACGGCGCCAGCGCGCACGGCGCCATCGCGCATGGCGCCAGCGCGCAAGGCACCAGCGTGCACGGCGCCAGCGCGCACGGCGCCAGCGCGACCGGCGCCAGCGCGCATAGGCGCCGGCGCGCATAGGCGCCAGCGCGTAAGGCGCCAGCGCGCAAACAGCCAGTGCGCTAGGCGCCAGCGCGTTAGGCGCCAGCGCTATACGCGCCAGCGAGTTAGGCGCCAACGCTATACGCGCCAGCGTGCTAGTTCCCGTGCGAACTCTCTCACTCGCTCTCCCTCTCTCCCTCTCTTCAAATGGTATTGCAATGCAAAAGGAGATCAATCGACAGACAGAGAACTTACGAAAAAATGTACGAAAGTAAATTATTTTTTCAGAGAGGAGGATAAATGGACCGGGAAAGGACAACGTACCTGAGAATCACGGTGCCTCAGAGGTAGATTCGCCTTGGCGCTCGCGCTTGGCGCCTGTCGCCAGAGGCGACGGCGGGTAGGGAAGAGGAGGCGACGACGGGGAGGGAACGGAGAGGCGACGGCGGGGAGGGAGGGAGAGGCGACGACGGGGAGGGAGGGAGAGGCGACGACGGGGAGGGAGAGGCGATGGCGGGTGAGGAGGGAAAGGCAATGGCGGGAGGGAGGGAGAGGCGATTGCTAGGGTGGGAGGAAAACGCGATTGCTGGGTCGGTGGGAGGTAGCGGACAGCAGGGTGGGAGGGAGGGGAGGGGAGGCGATGGTTGGATAGGAAGGTTTCAGGGAATGAACACTGTAGATTCTGTACTGTGCAGTTCTTGAATTCTTGCAATCGGAGTTAGTTGCCAAAGAAGTCATGAAACATGTTTTTTCCAGAACACTACCGTGATGCTACTACATCTGGAAACCATAACAAAACTTGGACAGTAAGAAAAAGCACACTAGATTTGGAAGCTAGTGTCACGTGAAAACACAAACGTAAACACATGATACTTGTCAGCCTCCAACCCAACCACAACCCACTAGAACAACAACCTGATAGTATTACAATATTTTTTAGGCAATTTTTAAAATGTTTCTCAATTCTCTAACTAATATATACCATCAGAAATTCAAAACAATTAAACGAATACCATATTTTAAAATTATGAGATAGCAGAATAAGTGAATGTATTTTTATCAGTAAACGTTTTGTTTTTTCGTTCACTGTGAATGTAACGCGTACGCAACCCTTCCGACGTTAACGTCGAATCTTGTTTTTGCTGGTGAATGGCGTGTTCTCCACGCCAGCATATATGTTCCGCATTGCGTCTACCTGAGACCGCATTCCGGTAACCTTCTTGTTATGTATTTCCAAGAGCTAGTAGCATGCTTTAGCTTCCAGACAGTGACAGCGTTTTCATTTTTTACGGCGGCTTGCTTCACTTGTAGGCTTCAGGAGAAACTGATAAGCCATGGCGCCGGATATATCGACTTACCTCTTTCCCAACTACGTTCACCCGGAAGACTGGTCCGCGTTACAGAGCTGCTTCGATACAGTGTGTAAACTTCAGTCCATCACACCACACCCTCCTGCTGCTACTGCTTCCACTGTTGACCCCTCAGATCGTCAAGCGAGAACCGTACACTCAACGCATTTCGCTGTTTCAGAAACACATTTCGCTGGCGGGGCAATTCCTGACGTAGATCGCAGTGCAGATTGTAACATTCGTCTCTCCTGTCGAAGCGCTTTGACACGCGCTTCGACTTGCGGCGAGGAGTTTTTTTGGGCTCGCGTTACGGTTACTCCGCTAGACGCGGCGATTACTCCTTTAACCGCGGTGATTACTCCTTCAGACGTCACGATTGCCCCTTTAGACCCGGCGACTACTCTTTTAGAGGGTGCGATAAATACGGCAGACAACGGGGCAAATCGTTTTAGCGACCCAGCAGGAGGAGCGAACGTGGCAGAAGATTTAGGGCTAGGCGGGGCGAGCAGAGAGGAAGACTTCGGGGAAGAGAAGGGCCGGGTTCAAACCTTGAAGGCCGCGTTTTTTCAGCGGGATTGTTGCTGCCGCTGCCACGTGCGAAGGGCTCTTACCGCGGGAGCCGATAGCGCCGATATTGACCCAGAACCGAGTTTGCAGTGCGGAGTGGCGAGCGGGGTGGGTAGAGCGAGAAGGGAGGAAGAGGTTCGGAGGGAAACATTTTTGGAAGATTTTCAGAAAAATCAGGGTTTTGAAAAAACTCACAAATTTGTCGGAAGGGCGATTAGTGAGTCCCGCGCGGGTTTGCGCGCGGATCGGCAGGGGCAGGGCGAAGCGGACGCGGAGAATGCGACGGGTCGTTTGGGGACGGAATGGCGGGGCGGCGGAGCGGCGGTTCATGGGGCCAGCGCGGCGGACAGAACGGTCGCTCGGCGCGCCGCTGTCCCGTCGGCGACAGTTGCGCGCGAGGCTGTCCGCGAGAGCGTTGCGGGCGGAGTTGTTGCCCAAGAGGCTGTCCCCCGGCAGAGCAGCGCGGACGGGAGTGCTGCGCGCGCCGTCTTCCCCCGCGGGAGCAGTGCGACGGAAGCAAGCGGCGCGGCGGAGGGGCTTGGCGCGGAGCGGAGGACGAAGCGGCGGAGGCATCATGCGGCTTCGGAAGGGGCAATGTCGGAACAGCCCATCTACGTAAGCCGGTTTCTCAATTCATTGTGTTTTGTGTTGCGTTGCATCGCGTTGCGTTCCATCACCATTATAGAGAGACTTACAAACGGATCCCCAGCCAACCCCCACCACCCCCTATCTCCCCCCTCCTTGCAGGATTCATTGGGCCTAGAGCGCGTATCCTGTATGGTTTCGAAGCCCATTCCGAACCGACCCGCTCAAACCCCCCCAAACCCTCCCAACCCCGCCCAACCCCTCCCAACCCTTCCCAGGACGCTGTGCGGTCGCGTCTGGAGCGCCTCTCCTGCATGCTCCGCTCCCATTCTGACGCGGTGCCATGCCGCGCTGCCGCCGACCAATCGCAGAGCTCGAAAGACGCCGTCAGCCAATCGCAGGGGACGAGGGAGCCGGCGGTCCAATCGCAGGGCTTGAGGGGCGCAGTGAGCCAATCACAGGTCGTCATTGCGCCCTCTGGAGAAACCGCAGCAGGAGGAATGGCAGCAGTAGCAGCACCAACAGCAGCAGAAGCAGTAGCAACAGCAGGAAGGGCAGGTGTATCGTCAGCAGCAACATTACCAGCAGCATTACCAGCAGCATTACCAGCTGTAGCAGAAGCATCAGGAATATGTGAAGGTTTAATGTCTGGTGCAGCTGTTAGTACCGACCGTATGCAGGTTGAAGAAAGTCGTTTGGGGGATAACTTGAGGGGAGGGGGGGATTCGGGCAGAGGGGGTGATTCGGGCAGAGGGGGTGATTCGGGCAGAGGGGGTGATTCGGGCAGAGGGGGTGATTCGGGCAGAGGGGGTGATTCGGGCAGAGGGGGTGATTCGGGCAGAGGGGGTGATTCAAGGGGCAAAGAAGGAGACGCTGTAGAGGGGGCGTGCAACAATGAGACTTGTGGGGATAGCGATGGTGCCTGTGACGTCAGTGGTGGTGGTAATGATGTTGATTTGGGTGCAGTGGGTGATGGTGCCGCCGCTGCTGCTGCTGTCGATGGCAGTGCTAATGCAGGTGGCGGGGCAAAACATGGTGGTCGTGGCAGCGTAACTCACAAGGGGGACAGCAGCGACGGGGGCTCGACTATAGCGGAGCAGCTACTAGCGAGGATGGAGGAGGTGGCGAGGCTGAGTGAGGAGAACGTGCGATACAGGGCCGTGTTTGAGCTCTCCATGGTACGCATCAACTCCAAACCCCCCTTACCCATTGTAAAACTCCAACTCTGAACACTATTTTTTGAAATCTCCCTCCTGCCATCTCTGATTCTACATGTTTGTGCTCATCTCTCCATAGCACTCTTCAACTCCAAATCCCTATGTATTTTTCCCTATCTGTTTTTGAGTTCTCCATGGTACCAACAATTCCCTGCTACCACCACTGTTCTTATTCCCCCCTCACTCCAACTCTCACTCGGCCTCCACAGCCCCCTGCTCCTACCATTCAGGACCCCATCTTCAACTTCTCCCTGCAACGAGGCGGCCGTCAGTCACCATCCTGGGGTGCTCCTCTCCTCCCCCTTCGCTCTCTGTCCCCACACCCCCCTTCCTTCACTACCTCTTCCATTTCCATGCAGGACCCCATCTTCATCTTTCGTCTCATGAAGAGTCGATCACAGACTGCAAGGAGGCAGCTGTCACCATCCTGGGTTGCTTGCTCCTCCCTCTTCACTCTGTCCCCACCACCCCCACACCCCTCTCCCTGCCTCTTGTCTTTCCATTCAGGACCCAATTATCATATTCCGCCTGCACGAGGAATCGATAATGGACTGCAACGAGGCAGCAGTAACCATCCTGCGCTGCTCCCTCTCCTCCCCTCTCATCCCGCCCTGCCCCTGCCAACCCCCCCTTTCCACCTCCCCCACCATTCAGGACCCAATCATTATCTTCCGCCTGCATGAAGAATCGATAATGGACTGCAACGAGGCGGCTGTTACCATCCTGCGCTGAAATCACCATATTCGCCTGCTGGATCTCCCGCCCCCTCCTCTCTCCCTCTCCCATTCAGGACCCAATCATTATCTTCCGTCTGCATGAAGAATCGATAATGGATTGCAACGAGGCGGCAGTAGCAATCCTGCGCTGCGCCTCCAAAGCAGACGTCATGTGCCGCCCGTTCCACGTCAGCTTCTCGCCGCCCGTCCAGCCGGACGGCCGCCCGACGGCCGAAGCGGCCGGGGAGGTGATGGCGAGGGTGCAGAGCGGCGAGGCGATCAGCTTTGAGTGGATGCACCGCGCTCTTGACGGGTCACCGCTCCCTGTGCTGGTTCGCGTGAAGGTGAGGAGGTGGGGGGAAGTCAGGCCAGAGGGATGGATGGCGAGGGTGCAGAGCGGCGAGGCGGTCAGCTTCGAGTGGATGCACCATGCTCTGGATGAGTCAAGGTGAGATGTGCTGCTTGTGGCTGGTACAAGTGAGCACGAGGGGAAAGGCAGAGCCAGGGGTGGCCGGCGAGGTGATGGCGAGGGTGCAGAGCGGCGAGGCGATCAGCTTCGAGTGGATGCACCATGCTCTGGGCGGGTCGCCTCTTCCTGTGTTGGTTCGAGTCAAGGTGAGAAAGGCAGGGCCTGGCTTAGAGTGAAGGTGAGGGGAACGGCAGGGACAGGGAGGGGCGGGGTTGGTGCAGAGCGGCGAGGCGGCGAGCTTCGAGTGGATGCACCATGCTCTGGGTGGTTCACCGCTCTCTGTGCTGGTTAGAGTCAGGGTGAGATGTGCTGCTTGTGGCTGGTACAAGTGAGCACGAGGGGAAGGCAGAGCCAGGGGTGGCTGGCGAGGTGATGGCGAGGGTGCAGAGCGGCGAGGCGGCGAGCTTCGAGTGGATGCACCATGCTCTGGGCCGGTCACCCCTGGCTGTGCTGGTGCGAGTGAAGGGACGTTGAGGGACAGCTGGGCGGGACTGTGCGATGGTGGCGTGGCACGACATGAGGGAAGCACAGATGATGGAGAGATAGGGGCATGCTGACGAGCCTTCCTCCCTCTCTTCGTGCCTGTGTGTGTCCTCGCCCGCCGCTCCACTCTCTTCAGCACATAGCGGCAGCGGGGCGGGACTGTGTGATCGTGGTGTGGCACGTATGAGGGGGGTTAAGAGGCGGGAGGAGGAGCTGAGGCAGGCCAAGGAGGCTGCAGAGGCGGCAGAGGCCAAGAGGAAGAATGTCTCTCTCCTTACCCGTGTCGTGTATATTTCCCTCCCCTTGGTTGTGGGTTTCCATCCCCTTCAGCACATATTGGCAGCGGGGCGGGACTGTGTGAACGTGGTGTGGCACGACATGAGGGAAGGGAAGCGAAGCGGAGGGAGGAGGAGGAGGAGCCAAGAGCACCCTGAGAAGCCTTGCACTCTCCCTGTGCTGATGTGTACTTCCCTCCCTCCCTTGGCGGTGCTCTTTCTTCCCGCTTTCTTCAGCACATAGTGGCAGCGGGGAGGGACTGTGTGATCGTGGTGTGGCACGACATGAGGGAAGCGAAGCAGAGGGAGGAGGAGCTGAGGGAGGCCAAGGAGGCTGCAGAGGCGCATCACTGGCTCTGTGTGTTTCCTCCTCTCTTGCCTGTGTGTGTTTCCATCCCACCCTCAGCACATAGTGGCAGCGGGGAGGGACTGTGTGATTGTGGTGTGGCACGATATGAGGGAGGCGAAGCAGAGGGAGGAGGAGCTGAGGCAGGCTAAGGAGGCTGCAGAGGCGGCTAGTCGCGCCAAGACACAGTTCCTGGCCAACATGAGCCACGAGCTGCGCACTCCCATGAATGGTAAGTTGCTATTGACAGTAAGTGGTTATTTATGAGTGATTGGTAGTGGTTGCTTGCAGCAAGTCGGTGGCTTTCATGACTCAATTACGGCCAGCCGCGCCAAGACACAGTTCCTGGCCAACATGAGCCACGAGCTGCGCACTCCCATGAATGGTGAGTCATGACCTCAGCGAGGGGATAGCTGTAAGTAGATGCACGTGTGCGAGGGGATAGCTGTAAGTAGATGCACGTGTGCGAGGGGATAGCTGTAACTAGATGCACGTGTGCGAGGGGATAGCTGTAACTAGATGTAAGTGTGTAATGAGTCGTTTTTTGAGTCGACTCAAAACATTACTTCAGCGAGGGGATAGCTGTAACTAGATGTACGTACGTGTGCGTACCCGTATCAGTCAGTGGGTGATTGACAGCAAATCGGTGCTTATCACATGTCTGAAATACAGCTATCCGCGCCAAGACACAGTTCCTGGCCAACATGAGCCACGAGCTGCGCACTCCCATGAATGGTAATTGGTGGATGTTGCTGGGTGATTGGCGGCAGTGGGCGATCGATAAGGGGTGCTTGGCAGTAAGTCGATGGTTATCAAACGTTTCAAATAAGTGGATGGATGGAGTTTGAGACGTCTCAAGACTCAGACGACTGAATGGTGGCTTGTGATTGGATGGGGATTTTACCGAAAAGGCATGAGGTTGTGATGTCATCCCCCAGGCGTGTTGGGGGTGGTGGAGCTGCTGCTGGCATCAGGCGTGAGTGGGGAGCAGAGGGCGCTGCTACAGGTCGTGCGGGCATCAGGGGAGAGCCTCGTGCGTTGCCATAACTACACACTCACACGTTCGCCCCTCCCTCCCTCCCTCCCTCCCTCCCTCCCTCCCTCCCTCCCTCCCTCCCTCCCTCCCTCCTTCCGTGCTGCATCACCAGGCGTGTTGGGGGTGGTGGAGCTGCTGTAGGCATCAGGCGGGAGTGGGGAGCAGGCAGAGGGCGCTACTGCAGGTCGTGCGGGCGTCAGCGGAAAGCCTCGTGAGGTGGCTTAGAAACGCACTCACACGTTTGCCCCTCCCTCCCTCCTTCCATGCTGCTGCTTTGGTCGCTTCCCCAGGCGTGTTGGGGGTGGTGGAACTATTACTAAGCTCGGGTGTGAGTGGCGAGCAGAGGGCACTACTGCAGGTGGTGCGGGCGTCAGGGGAGAGCCTCGTGCGAATCCTCTCAGACCTCCTCGATATCACGCGCATCGAGTCCCACTCCCTCGCGATCTCCCTCGCGCCCTTCTGTCTTCACTCGGCCATTGAGAGCACTCTCGCGCTCATGAGAGTTGTTGCCGTCAAGAAAGGGCTGCAGGTAAGAAAGGGCTCCAAGTGTGTTCCACTCCCACTCAGGGCATCAGGGGAGAGCCTCGTGCGAATCCTCTCAGACCTCCTTGATATCACGCGCATCGAGTCCCACTCCCTCGCGCTCTCCCTCGCGCTCTCCCTCGCGCCCTTCTGCCTTCACTCGGCTATCGAGAGCACCCTCGCGCTCATGACGGTTGTTGCCGTCAAGAAAGGGCTGCAGGTACGAAAGGGTTGCAAGTGTGTCCCACTCTCCTTTCTCTACCAGTCACTCGCGCTCTCCCTCGCGCCCTTTGGTCTTCACGCGGCCATTGAGAGCACTCTCGCTCTCATGAGAGTCGTTGCCGTCAAGAAAGGGTAACACGTGTGTCTGGCTTTCACTCTCGCTCCCACTGGCCCCCTCTGTCTCCGCGCTGTCATTGAGTGCACTGTTGCTCTCATCTCATGCGCACTTTTGCCGTCAAGCCCAGCTGAAAGGGTTGAAAGTATTGCACGGTTGCACCCAGTTAGCTTTGTCTGTTTTTTCATTTCGCCTCTCCTCATCAGCTGTATCAGGCTGAAGATTTTGAGGTGCCTCAAAACAAGTCTCAGGGCGTATTCCACTTTGTTTCAAGAGTACTGTTTGTGTCATCCGAGATTCTTGGACGACCAATGGGGCGCATTTCAGTTCCACTGTTGGAATACCATTGGTCGTCCAGGAATCTCGGATGGCACAAACAGTACTCTTGACACGAAGTGGATTACGCCCTCACTCCCAATTACTCATCATTCCGGTCCCCGCTCTCGTCTCCCCTCTCCCTTTCCCCTTCCTCATCTCTCCCTCCCTTCCCCATTTCTCCCCTTTGGCCTTTGCCAGATGTCAGTCAGCATCGATCCATGGACGCCACAGGAGGTGGTGGGCGATGCAATGCGGTTCCGCCAGGTGCTGCTCAACCTGCTTTCGAATGCCATCAAATTCACCGATAGGTGAGTAGCAGCAACTATGGTTTTACGTTTCATGAGTGCATCTACGATAAACATGGTTATTTATTTACCACTCACCACTCTCATCCGCTTTCGCCTGCTGCCCTTCCCTCCTCTCTTGCGCTCTTTTCCCTTCCCTTGATCCACTACGCGAAGTTACCCCGTTGCTGCTCACCATTCTCTTGCTGCCCTCACCCCTCTCTTGCTGCCCTCGCCCCTCCCCCCTGTGTATGCCTCCCTATTCCAGAGGCTCTGTGGCAGTGCATGTGACAAGGCTGCACAACACTCCCCTTATCTCCTGCGCTCCCCTCTCTCTGTGTGCATGCCTCCCTATTCCAGAGGCTCTGTGGCAGTGCATGTGACAAGGCTGCACAACACTCCCCTTATCTCCTGCGCTCCCCTCTCTCTGTGTGTATGCCTCCCTATTCCAGAGGCTCTGTGGCAGTGCATGTGACAAGGCTGCACAACACTCCCCTTATATCCTGCGCTCCCCTCTCTCTGTGTGTATGCCTCCCTATTCCAGAGGCTCTGTGGCAGTGCATGTGACAAGGCTGCACAACACTCCCCTTATCTCCTGCGCTCCCCTCTCTCTGTGTGTATGCCTCCCTATTCCAGAGGCTCTGTGGCAGTGCATGTGACAAGGCTGCACAAACCCGCTCCCTCACATGTCACCGGGGAGGCTAGTGGGGGTAGGGGTAGGCTCTGGGTTGGCCCGCCCTGGTCTGCCGAATGTGTGCATACGGGTGGTGGTGATAGCATGCCTGTTCATCGCAGGGGAGGGGAGTGTAATGTGGAGGACACTAGGCAGGGTAGGGGAGCAGGAGGAAATGGAGGAGCAGGAGGAGGAGGAGAAGAAATAGAAGTGGGAGCAGCAGCGGGAGGAGCAGGAGGAGGAGAAGAAATAGAAGTGGGAGCAGCAGCGGGAGGTGCAGGAGGAGGCCGTAGTGGAGGTGGGGTTGAAAGTTTCCAGGGAAAGAAGAGGCAGAGGGAGGGAGAGGGGCGGGGTGAGGAGCAGGAGAGCAGTGGAGGGGTGAACAAGAAGGGATGGTCTGATATTGCTCAAACGGCAAGAGTAGAGCAGGAGAGAAGTGGCTGGGTGGAGTTGGAGAGGACTGACAGGGAGGAAGGAGGATTGAAGGGAGGGATGAGGGTGGAGGCGAGCGGATGGCTAGAGCACTTGACCCACGTGGAGATGAGTCAGGAGGGGCAGGACGGGCAGCAGGGGCAGCAGGGGCGGCAACAGGGGCAGCAGGAGCAGCAGGAGGGGCAGGAGAGGCAGCAGGCGGGGCAGCAGGGGGAGCAGGAGGGGCAGGAGGGGCAGCAGGGGGGGCAGCAGTAAGAGCAGTCAGTGGTGTGGGTGCAGGTGAGGGTGCAAGACACAGGCATAGGCATGCCACCCCACGTCATACCCCACATCTTCCACCCCTTCACTCAGGCTGACTCCTCCTCCTCACGCCGCTTCGGAGGCACGGGCCTGGGCCTTGCCATCTGTCACTCGCTCATTGGCCTCATGGGTGGGGAAATCTCTGTGAACAGTCAGCCTGGGGTTGGGTCGGTTTTCACCGTCTGCATCCCCTTTGGGAAAGCTCGAACGGATGAGGCGGTGACTTTTGAGTCGACTCAAAAGGCCGGGTCGGCTTTCACCGTCTTCATCCCCTTTGGGAAAGCTCGAACGGATGAGGCAGTGGTGGGTGGGATGGATAAGCCTTCCCAAAATGCACCTACGCGGGGGGCCATCCAAGAACCGCAAACCACCTTCCCTGCTGCTACCTCCCTTGCTCCGTGTCCCCTTCCCAATCCCACACCGCCCACTTTCCCTGTGCCCCCCTCCCCATGTGCTGCTGCACATCAGACGGCCCCAGAACCACCAGCTCTAAAACTACCTGAACCGGAACCATCTGCCACAGCATTACCTGCCACAGCTGTACCTGCCCCAGTTCTACCTGCCCCTGAACCACCCGCTTCAGAACCACCTGCCTCAGCACCACCCGCCCCTGAAGCACCTGACTCAGAAGCACCTGAGTCAGAAGCACCACCTTCCCCAGATGCAGATGCATCATTCCCCATGCAGGCTGTGTCAGTACGCCCTCCCCCAGTCCTACCTGCCCGCGCCTCAGTTGAGCCTACACCCACGCCTCTGGACTCTCATCAGCCTGAACCCCACCCTCTTCCCTCATACCAGTCATCTCCTGCCCTTCCTGCACCCCCCGCTTACACTCCACCTCCCACTATCCCTGCACCCACAGTTCTACCCGCATCGCCCGTTGTCACTACACCTCCCACTCTCGCTGCATCTCCCGCTGTCCCTACGCCTCCTTCCGCCTTTCCTTCCTTGTCCCCTGCTCCTGATATGGCCTCCGTCTCGCCGTTACTCTCTCCCTCCCTCGCACCTTCACTCCCTGCGTCACTGTCTCCCTGTTCTGAAGCCGCTCCCAGCACCAACCCCCCTTCTAGTCCTCGTTTTAAGGCGATTCAGAGCAGCCCTTTGCGCTCTGATCTGGCTAAGCATATAAGTGCAACTAACCAAGCAACTGACCAGGCAACTAACAGTGCTCATTTAAACGAAGCCCTTGAGCGCGTGTGTAACCGCATCAGCATCAGCATCAGCGGCAGCATCAGCAATGGCAGCAGCAGCAGTGGCAGCAGGGGTGGCAGCAGCGGCAGCAGTAGCGGCAGGGGCAGCAGTGACATCTGTGGCACGGCAGGACTTGAAGCAGCAGAGGAGGGTGTGAGCGCACACGTGGGTGTGAACAGGAGGGGAGGGGAGACAGATGAAGGGGCCCGGGTGGGCAAGAGAGTCTGTGTCAGGCAGCAGAGGGGAAAGCAGGGCAGGGCGAAGGGCAATGGGCGATGTGCAACTGAAGAACGATCACCGGATGAAGAAGCACAGGAGCAGGGAGAGCAGGGAGGGCAGGAAGGGCGGACAGAGCCGCAGGTGAAGGGGTATGGTACAGATGGTGAAGCAGACGAGAAGAGATCGCCGTTTGAAGGAATGAGGTGTCTGGTGGCGGAGGACAACAGAGTGAACCAGCTGGTGGTGACTCGATCCGCAGATGCAGGAAGTTCACACCGTGAAGCGCAGGAACAACAGGGAACGACGCAAGGCAAGCAGCACGGCACAGACAAGGAGGGAGAAGGCAAGAGATCGCCGTTTGAAGGAATGAGGTGTCTGGTGGCGGAGGACAACAGAGTGAACCAGCTGGTGGTGACTCGCATGCTGCACAGCCTGGGCGTGGCGTGTGACGTGGCCGTCAATGGCCGGGAGGCTGTTGATAAGTGTGCACAGCGAGACTACGACCTGGTTCTTATGGTGAGTCGACTCGTAGTGGGTCGTCTTATAGCGAGTCGGTCAAATCATCTCATTGTGAGTGTATGGGGTGAACCAGCTGGTGGTGACTCGCATGCTGCACAGCCTGGGAGTGGCGTGTGACGTGGCTGTCAATGGCCGCGAGGCTGTTGATAAGTGCGCTCAGCGGGACTACGACCTTGTGCTCATGGTGAGTCGTCTTATAGTGAGTTGTCTTATAGTGAGACGTTCAAGGGATCTTATTGTGAGTGTGCGGGGTGAACCAGCTGGTGGTGACTTGCCTGCTGCACAGTATCTTGTTCTCATGGTTTTTCCTTGTTTTCCTGCATCCTTCTCTGGACTTACCCTCATGCGCGTGACTACAGGACTGTCATATGCCTGAGATGGATGGATTTGAGGCAACGCGCCTCATTCGGCAACATTATACTGATCAGAATAAGGTTCCATACTTCAAAAGTAACAGCACCAGCAGCGGCCTCGACTGCAGTATAGCCGCCCCTGCTACAGCAGCTGCAAAGGCTTCGCAAGACGAACTAACAGAGTTGGATGTCAAGGCTGACCGGGGCAGTGAAGCCCGAGATTGTAAATACCGTCGGGGGCCTTATATGCGTCGGCCACGCATTATAGCTCTAACCGCCAGCGCTTTGGCATCGGATAGGGAAAGGTGCATGGAGGTGGGGATGGATAGCTTTATTACCAAGCCTCTGAAGCCTTCGGAGTTGAAACGAGCACTACAAACCAGCCCTTAGTAATAATATTGAGGGGATTAGTTGTGGTAGCTGCTGCAATTCGATAAAAGTCCGGGTGTACATAACACTTGCTCTCGAGTGCAGTTTCCGAGGGTAAATGTAACTGGTTGGATAACACACGGATGGTACCTCTGATTGGTGAGAAAGCAGGCAGCGAGCCATTGTCTGCGCTCCACGTGGTCAGAATATGCTGCGGCCGCATGGCGAAGCTGCCGATTAGCAGTACCATGACAGAGAGCAACAGAGCAGCTACAGCGCAACAAAAAGTTCATATCGCGTACAGAGCAGGGTGAAGTGTTCTGGCTGACGTAATAACGTGGATCAACCATCACTCGTGGGAATTTGAATTTCAAAAACCTCGGAGTTGTCTTGCCTTGCTCCTTGGAGTGGTCTAGATCAGCCCACTGGATGCTTTGCGGGTGCTTCATAGGTAGAAGCGTTCAGGCACCGTGCATTTCTTGCGTCGAAACAGCAATTCCTTAGCGCGAATCGCGTCAGATCGTTTGGTCATGGCTTTGCATCTAGCAAATCCCGCTGTGGCTGCTCAAGGCTTCTCGACGGCCGTCGGATCTCCATCCAATGGCTGGCGATCGCGGGAGCCGGTTTTCACTGTGCGACTTTCGCATTCCATTACCGTTTCCGCCGCCGCATTCCGCGCGACCAGCAGCATCCCTTCAAAGAGCCACCGCGCAGTCATCGTCATCGCAAGCACCGATCCGTCTAACGATGTACCGATCTGCACAGCTCTGAACCCGAAAATTGCGACATTGTCCGGTTTCGACGGCAAATCCAGGTCTTCCGACGGCAAACCGTCAAGGCCGTCAGTCGTCACCAGCGCGGCCGCTTCATCTGCCGGTTACGTGACGCAGCTTGGCGGCGGGGGAGGTGACGGCGCGGGGGGAAGCTCCGGCGGAGGCGGAGGCGGAGGCGGAAGCGGAGGGGGAGGGGGAGGGGAAGGGGTAGGCGGAGAGGGAAATGCGGGGGATGCGGAGAGCGACTATGGGCCGATTCTGGGTTACGCGCAAGCGGAGGAGGCGTTATCTAAGGCGGGTGTGACTCTACCGGAGGACATGCTAGCACATGTGAAGGAGCACGGCATTGCGCAGCTGCTGCTGCAGCGATACATCGACCTGCAGGTCTGTGTGACTATATCAAAATTATCTTACTTCTACCGTACGGGAACATGTTTTTTTATATTATGTTGCATTGACGTGTTGCGTTAATCTACCCGTCCCCGAAACCCCGCCCATGCATTGTAAGGATCCTGTATGGGAGCATTCTCGCAACGCCAACCTGCTCGTAAGCCTTTCATGGCTCCAACGGCCTTTCATTGTAAACATGGGCCTCTCTCTTCTCCCCTTTCTCCCCCTTCATCCCCGGTTCACGCCCTTTCTTCCCCGTTCTCCTGCCTTCTCCCTTGTTCTTCCCCCTTCTCTCTCCGTCAGGTGCGGGGTGGCATTCTCGCCGCCGCCACCCGCGCGTTCGCCGGGTTGCGCAAAACAGGCTGTTGGCGGATCCCGCCTTCCTCTTCAAAGTGTTCACAGAGGTGCGTGTATCTGCATTTGCTTAGAAAAAAAAGTTAGTTAGTTTTGCGAGATGTTCCACTATCGAGTACGAGTGCCTTCACCCTCAACAGGCCACTGGCGGATCCCGCATTCCTCTTCAAAGTGTTCACAGAGGTGCGTGCTGTGAAATAGATGTTCCGCTATCGAGCGTGCTGCTGTCTATGCAAGGTTTTCAATGAAAAGAACAATCCAAGATAAACCCCTGTACTGTGGCATAAACCTTCACCCCCAAACCCTGGTACGCTCACGGTCTATGTCGCCATACATACATCCCCTTTCCCCACCCCCCCCCTTCCCCTCCCCGCTCCACCCTCACCACCAGATCGGAATAGACTATGTCTGTGTCTGTGCCTCCTCTTTCCTCTCCACCCTCCCCTCTCCCCGCTCCACCCTCACCACTAGATCGGAATAGACTATGTCTGTGTCTGTGCCTCCTCTTTCCTCTCCACCCTCCCCTCTCTCCGCTCCACCCTCACCACCAGATCGGAATAGACTATGTCTGTGCCACATTCGCTGAAGTTTTGCTAGAATTATAAAATTACAAAACAAAAACAAAAACACACACACACACACAATAAAACAACAAACCTTCCCCTCTCCTCTTACCTCTCCACCCTCCCCCCTCCCCCTTCCACCCTCCCCACCAGATCGTGATCGACTCTGGCTGTGCCACATTTGCCGAGGTGTGGAAACGAGGAGACGACTTTTGGAAGGAGTTTGATCTCTACATGTCGGATATCCTCGTGGGATTCTCCACCCTCCCCCTCTCCCCACTCCACCCTCCCCCTCTCCCCACTCCACCCTCCCCTCTCCCCACTCCACCCTCCCCTCTCCCCACTCCACCCTCCCCCTCTCCCCACTCCACCCTCCCCTCTCCCCACTCCACCCTCCCCTCTCCCCACTCCACCCTCCCCTCCCCACTCCACCCTCCTCTCCCACTCCACCTCCCCTCTCCCCAACTCCACCTCCCCTCTCCCCACTCCACCCTCCCCTCTCCCCACTCCACCCTCCCCTCTCCCCACTCCACCCTCCCCTCTCCCCACTCCACCCTCCCCCTCTCCCCACTCCACCCTCCCCCTCTCCCCACTCCACCCTCCCCTCTCCC